AGTTCTGGGCCAGAAAAGTCCTTCTGGGTGTCTTGCCTTGCTATGCTTCTTACGGTTCTTGTCTCGGTTGTCTTTCAGCTCTTTTTGGGCTTGGGACCAAGAGACTTTGGCCATGAGGCCTCTTACCCATAGGGTCCATATTTAGCGTTTACCTTAACCGTATTTATCCTAGCTTTTGAGGGTACCTCATTATGATTTCCTTATATGAGTCCTTAAAAGGGTAGGATATTCAGGGTTAGGGTTTCGGGTTAGGGTTTAGGGGGTGCCTTATGCAGTTCAGAGGTTTCGATACGTACTGCCACTATGAAATTAGGGCGAAAGAGGCCGTCGTTTTGGGGTCCCCATTCCATAATGGTAGAATATGTGGACCCTCTTAATTAGTGCTTCAGGGGCTTTGGCTTTAGGGCTCAGTTAGCTTAAGTACACTGGCCAGGGGCATGACGCGGTTTAGAGTCTAGGAGACAGGCACCTGATTAACTATATGGTAGAAGCCAAAAAGTTGGAACATCATTATCCTCATGCCCTTAAGGTAATGTATAAGGGATCCTAGCACGAATCCTCCTAAAGCCATGTTCCAACTTTCTGGCTTCTAGTATAGGTAGAGCAGGTTTTGTGGCAAAAGCAGTATCACGATACGTGTTACAATTGGCTCTGGACGAGCATAGAAAGTTGAACGGTGGTTCGTACGGGCCGGGGGAACCAACGATGCTAGTAGGAAGTGCTTGATGTTCCTACCTGAGCCGCCTATGAGGTCAACCGCCACATCTGAAGCAAAGACTTACCTTTGGTTAGGTTGGAATGGAGGAATGGGGTACACTTATAACTACTAATACTACCATTCTTCCATTCCCTTCTATAAATAGCCAAGGTAAGGAGACGGCCTCTGAAAACCAGAAACCTCAACCAGGGTTTGATGGTCTCGGATTTGCGGCGGATGATTGTGCTGTGCGGACATTGAATGCCAAAACATGGGCACTAATGAGACAGACTACGCGAACGGTATTAGTACTCTCCATAAAACTTTGTCTGCATGAACAGATCGCGACCATAATACATGGAGCCATAGTAGACATAGCAGCCGCAGTTTCAACAGCAATGAATGCCACACCTTTTTCTGCCCACGCGAACACCTGTAACTGAAAGACACCGAGAGCAAGGCTTCTGTATTGATGTATCATGATGCATGTACAAGGTACTAGCATGTATATGCTAGACTAATGATGAGATGGAAGCCATAAGCAGTAAACCCCAAAGGGTCCAAAGTACCTGGATGGTAGAATGTCGGGTTTCTATATTAGGAATTGCTATTATGATTCGGGGAAGTATCCCCCATAACAGTACAAAGGACCCTTTGGGAACGTGATGTGAGGTACTTTTGCTAAGATGGCGGGGGGATGAACTTCAGCTCCCCATCCCGACTCACCGGGCATAGCATGAAGATCCTGACAGACTGCACAGTGCCTTCGTGAAACCCACACACCCCAACGGTTTAGGGTTTAGGGTTTAGGGACCCCAGCTTATCTGCGAGGAGTTCTAGGTTTACTGGCGGTGAGTAGAGGGTCGAGGTTCTTTCCGTCCTCTCCTTACGACTGGACTACTGACTCTCTAAAAGAGCCCTTTCCTCCCAAAGCTGGGGAAGAAGATGCCGTACCCATCTGACACCTGAGGGACCCCACCCCTTTGCAAGCTTGGACGGCGAGAAGCCTGCCGACATCAAAGTGATTGAGATTGCGGGATCGAATTTAACTTAAGTGTTTGGGGGAACTTACAGCCATCAGCTACCCTTGATTGAAGAATGCACATTCCTACTAATCAGGAAGATGGAACACCTATAAGGGGTGCTTGGCAATGGAAAGGCTCAGGTTTTAGCGATGCAAATACGAAGATGATGTCATGCGTTGCTCGGGTTGAGGAGTTTAGGGTTTAGGGTCTTGTTCTGCCTGCAGGCCTTGCTGTTCATGCTTCGCTGATCATGCTTTGCTAATCATGCTTTGCTGAACGTAAACCCTAAACCCTGCCCATATGTCCTAACATTGGTCATAGCGTTTAACATTTTGGGGGCCTTGATAGCTAGAGTAGGTCTTTGGGGAAAACAGTAAAACAACATGCTAGGGAATCCTCTCCCATCTGCAAACTCGAAACACTATGGCATACTCAGGCTCGGAAGCCGCGCGAAGTTCTGAGACTTGATCTTTACTATACCCCCCCTTAGAGCCAAAATAACATGTTATGTTGAATCATTTTCTGGGGCTTTACACGAACAAAATCTACATCTAATTCCTAAGGAGACTCTGGTTTAGGTTTCAGGGATCGGTGCGCCCTTTAGGGAGCGGCTTTGGGACCATGCAGGCTGCAAGACTAAAACCACAAGCATGACATGCAAAACTTTGTTTGACCTCAGACCCTGAAACCAGAGACTCCAATATCCCTAACGAATATATTGCTTTAAGTGATCCTACTACAATTTAAGGTATATTGCTGAATCAGGGGGTTTTGGACTGCACCCAAATCCCGAAACCCCTAAACCCAGTAGATCCCTTATAGAACCCTTACTTATGGATCCCTATAAAGGAATCCCTTATAGATCCCTTTTAAGGGAACCCTACAATTCCCTCGAGGGGATCCCTATAGACCCCTCTAAGGGAACCCTATAGAGGCCCTATAGATCCCTTTACGGGAACCAGATAGATCCCTCTGAAAAAACCGATCGATGCCTTTTAAGGGAACACTATCTATCTATCTATATATATATATATGTATACACATATATAGATCCCTTATGGAATCCGTGTGTGCCTGGCGTCTCGTCCTGGCTTCCGTCGCCAGTGCTTTGCCTTGGAAAGTCTCCCAACCAGCAGCTCAAGCTTGAACTAGCATAACCTCGTATTTCGGGGTTTTAGGGTTTAGGGATTAGAGTTTAGGGCTCAAGGTTGCATGGTTGGGGGGGTTAGGGTTTAGGGTTTAGGTTACCTTAAGTACCATAACCCCTTAAGTTCCGCCTGGAACATTTTCTGTATGCCCCACCAAAGGGTACGTCTACGTTGGACTACCGTGACATGACTTAATATTGCCCATTATTCTGTAGGTCCAAGGGTTCGGGATATGGGGGGCAGAAGCTATGTTTGCCTAGGCCGCATGAGATCATAGGGCAGCAAAAACTCCACAGAACCTCCTTGAAGCGAGGATACGGTTTAGGGTGTGTTGGGTTTAGGGAGTGGGTTCGGGGGCTTGGGATTTTGGGGACGTCCCGCGTTTCGAAGCTTTGTTTGGCGCTTTTCTAGTGCCCAAATATGTATATATATATATATATATATATATATATACATACATATACCTTGACCACCCTAGCCTATACAAAAAACCATACATTTCATAATTAATGGTTATAAGGCAATAGCGCGGAAAAAACGTAATATTACATTTATTGGCTTTTGAAGGGGTTTTAGAGGTTTTCAGCTGCAGCTGAAGGTTCAAATCATGGGCAGCCGCATGCCGAATCTTGATCTTGTCTACACAACAAGTCTTGTATATCTTACATACCCATATAGAGTTTAAAAATTTAGGGTTTCAGGTATGTGTTCGCAATACTTACACCATTCATGTGTGTAGCACACATATTTTCTGGGTTCAAGGGTTAAGGTTTCTAGGGTATATTTCTTGAACCTATCCCATTGCATCTTCCCAAATCATACAATATAAGCTCAGTGCTACAGCCAATCGGCTGAATCCTTTTTGGGCGAGCCCATCTTGGGCTTCGATGCTTGGCCTCGTGAGGTCAGCCCCCCACTTGCTCAAAGTTGTTGCTTTCTGCTGATGATTGAATCGAGCTGCATGCATCCTGTGAACACATTTGTTATCATTGCAGACTTCGATTGCTCAAGGGCCCAGGTAAAGTTTTCCCCGATGTCAGCGAAAGTATTGACCGAATGCTCTCCTTCGGGGTTGGACCTGGTGCACAAAGCAGGACTCATTATGAGCATGTGATGGACTGGATTTCCCTTTCGGGCTCATTAAGATTTACTTTTCCAGCAGGACTGATGCAGATGCCAGATGAATTCTGGAATGCTTCGGTGGAGGCGTTATATGCCGATCAGCAGGACTGAGTTAGATCTTACTGGTTCAGGGCTTAGCAAGCACCCAACTACGAGTCCTAATGAATCGTCGGCATGCAGGACCTTCCAAGTGCCGACCGGATGCTTTCGGATGTGGTCACAAATATACAAGTTGGTGGCATCTGCAAACACTTCTCCGATTTGTTTGAACAAGGACAAGGCTCCGTGACTCTCAAGTCTTTTGGGCATGCATATTCAGCTTGAAAGCAATCCCTGAAGGAGTGCTGCTTCAGATCGCAAATACGCATCCATATGACCGCTGAGTTCTGCTATGATAGCAATCATGATGGGGTATGACGGGGTTTTCTGTACAGGCTGATGCAGTTGGCACGAGTGATCGAGAAACTGTAGGTCTTGTGCAGTGTAATGGGGCGGAAAAAAAATCTATTCAGAGTTGGCCTGCACAGCTGGACATATCGATCGGTCTTTTTTCTTTAGCTGCCGAAGCCTGCCCTTCGCAGGTCCCTCTGAATGTGTGCGCCGGTGCCGCTGGCTGCCTCATCAATTTTCCGAAGGCTCGTCTCGGGTTAGATCACACTGAAGCTCCGGTTTTCATATGAGTTGCCCATGCAGGATCGTTTTGATCTTGATCCTGATCAACTTTTATGGGTGATGGCCCCATGACAGCTCTACTCAGTACAGTGCGACTCTGATTTCACTTGGGCCCAGGTTTCTTTTGGCTGGTGGCCTCGATCTGGGCTACACGAGTCCATATCTCAGGTGGTTGATCCTTCAAATTCTGGTCAGTTGATGCATGCATGAGAACTTCACCATTCTGCTTCGCAGGATTTGGGTTGCAGGGCTTTTAGGAGTGAAGCCATGGCTGCTGATGACAGCCCAGAGGTGACCCATGGGCAGGGGGTTCGTATCCGCAGGGTACGAACAGCAATGGTTTGGCCAGACAAAGGACTTTTGGCTACGGCTTTCGAGGAGGACAATGAGGTTCGGAGCCTATTCAGGCAGAACAAGGGCCACCTACTTTCTTGGCCCTCGCCAGAGCTGGTAGGGGTTGCTAGCCTGAAAGCCCTGGCCCTGAACGTTACCGTGATCAAGCTTGCAATACGCATCTGGGGCCAAGCGACGCCCACACCTAAAGCTATGTCGGTGGATTGGCTGAAGAACGAAGCTACTTGTCTTTGTCAGCCCCTAAATGGTCCCCGAAAAACGCAAACCCGGAAAACGCTAAATCATAAACCCTTGAAACAAGAAAGCAAACCCCGTAAGCTAGCTTATATATGAGATAGCTTCGGAGGCTGACACTTTGAATCTGTGGCTCAGGGTTTTCAGTCTGGACTTCCTGGTACTTAGTGTAGGTTGTTTCGGGTTGCCTCCACGTAGCCTCTACAATATGTGGTCCACGCTCGCTCAGGTATCTGGCCTTCACGATATGCTTTGTGCTGGTGGCAAAGGGAAGACAGTGCCTATTTATGTCGACAGCTGGGGTATCAAGCGGTTGTCTACCCTAGCTATGCGACGGTGGAAGGCTCCTATCGCTACCTTACGGGTGCCTAGTCAAGCATTAATTTCCATGTCTTGCCGAGAACACTGTCTTAGTCTTAGCTTTGATTTTGCTGTGACTCAAGGATCGTACACTACATGGCTTATTCCGTGAAATGACGCAAGCTTGGGGTGAGGAGGCTGCAGAACCCGACCAGGAGTTGGATGATGATGATGGTGTGGCTCCTGCTGAGGATGATGCTTACCCAGATGCTGGAGACGCAGCTGCCGAAGATGCCAGTGGGTCTGCAGAAGCGCCGGCTCGGGAAGCCGAGGATGCCTTAGATGCAGAGCTGCAGGCCACGGAGCAGCAGCTGCAAATCCTGCAGAAACTTATCTTAAGCCTGCACTGCAACTGCTGTTTGAAATTCTGCTTGGTTCTTTTCGTTTGAGAATCTTAGGAATTACTTGGAAGATCGCCGCAGAGTGCGAGCACGCAGCATCTCGGCATTGCAGATATATCCTTGCGTGATTCGTTCAATATATCTATAGCTTCTATAGAAGACTTCACGATTCATTGCATATCTTAGGTGCACCTGATCCATCTGTCTCGGACACTGTGCCCTGGGACATCACGGCTGGAAACTTTGAAGGTCCAGCAGGCTGCATCGATATCAGTGATGATGACGGTGTTTCCTTGTGTATGGAGGACTGTACATTGGCATTTCCTGCAATAGATCTCATGCAATACAGCAGCTCTATTATCCAAGCATTAACCCTAAACCCTGAATCCTCGACAGGATTATGCTTCATCTCCGAGTCCTGAACTCGATGGCACTGGACCCTCGGAAGCTCCAGAATCTGATCTGCCTGGTGATGGACCCTCAAAAGCCCCAGAAATCAATCTGCCTAGCGAAGCACCAGAAGCTGATCTGCATGGTGGACCCTCGGAAGCCCCAGAATCTGATCTGCCTGGTGATGGAGCTACGAAAGCCCCAGAATCTGATCTGCCTGGTGATGGAGCCTCGAAAGCCCCAGAAGCTGATCAGCCTGGTGATGGAGCTACGAAAGCCCCAGAATCTGATCTGCCTGGTGATGGAGCCTCAAAAGCCCCAGAAGCTGATCTGCCTGGTGATGGAGCCTCGAAAGCCGCTAATCCCTCTACTTCCTTGGAACCAGGTTGCCACGCGGAGCCAGAGGACCCTGCCGACTTCGACGTCATGAACTTTAAGGTGTCTTGTTCTAAAATTATCCCAGTCTTGTCCAGTTGGCCATTGCACTTGTATGTTCTATACCTGACCGAATCCCAGTCAGGGCAAGCCTTCCTACCTGGACCAGCACGGAGCTACGAAGGTTCGGGGTGATGATGGCGATGGTGAAGATGGGGAGGCTAGCGAGTCTGGTAAATCCAAGGGCAGAGGCCGTGGTGGCCGTGGCGGCAAGGGCAAGGGTCGCGGTCGCGGCCGCGGCAAAGGCAACGCCTCAGGTGGCAAGACAGGTCGTGGTCGTGGGGGAAGAGGTCGTGGCTGCAGGGGCCGTGGTGGGGCCTCGGGCGAGGACCTAAAGACCCCTTCGCCAAAACCCAAAGCTGCTGTTCTTGAGGATTCTGAAGTTTTGGAGACTCCCCCTAAGGAAGCCAGAGCACCAAAGGGAGCCACAGCTAAAGCCAAAGCCAAGGCAGCAAACTGCAAAGCCCCGAAAAGCAAAGCTTCCCCGAAGGCGTCAGCAAGCAAGGCAAAGGGATGCCAAGATTCCCCAAGCAAGGCATCCCCAAGCAAGGCATCCCCGAGCAAGGCATCCCCGAGCAAGGCATCCCCGAGCAAGGCATCCCCGAGCAAACCCAAGCCCAAGGGCAAAGCCAAGGCGAAATCCGGCCCGAAGGCCAAGGCAGCTCCAAAGATGCCTCCCCCAGACAAGGCTACTTCAGATGATGGTGCTAAGAAGCGAAAGCGCCATGCTGAGGAGGATAAAAGCTTTGCTAGACGTGCCAAACCGAAGATGACAGTCCCCTTGAACCACTGGACAGCCATTCGGGATGTCTTCCGGGCCGAGCTTGCAGACACTTGTGGCAGTGTGGAGCAGGACAGTTCTTAAGATCATGTGGCTGATGTGGTGCACATGTCTGTTCTAGATTGTGCATGTGCCCATTGCAATGTATTTTGCTGCTTCTGAACAGGATGCTTTCTGGGCTGTGGCCAAACCCATGATGCCAACGAGTGGTGATCCTCAGGCTTGTGTGAAAGCTGCTAAGCTAGCTGTACGTGAGTACCTGCGAAAGGCTCCGAAGGAGTCCTGATGTTTAATGGGCTGGTGCAAAGCACGATGATTAGCCACAGTGGTTTTTCTCATTGTGCTGGGGTTCTGCAATTACATTGCTGTGCTTACAATCTGCCATATCCTGATACCTGTGCTCGGGCGGGCAGACTGTGAGAGTAGCTGCTGCATGCAAGGGGCCAGTTCGCATCGCGATCATGAAAGCAGGCAACAGCTGAGCTTGAAAAGATGCATGCAGTTTAAGCCTGTGCTTTATAGCTGAAACTTCGCAGCTCAACCCCATATTGTACGAACCCACTATCTCGCCGAGGCTCGACGATGAAGCGTGGACAGGCCTTTCTGGCCCGCAGAGGTGTCGTGCCTGCCTTGGATGAAGGTGCAGCAGTCTCGCTTGCAGTCTTAAACAAAATAACGGACCCAACCCATACCCCTAAGCCCTAAACCAGGTACTAAAAAAAACTAAACCCCAAACCCTAAATAGCAGACTAAACCCTAACCCTAATCCCTATAATAGGTGCTAGAAAACAAACCCCAAACCCTAAATAACAGGTCCAATCCTAACCCTAAGCCCTTAAGGTGCTCAAAAAACTAAACCCCAAAGTGAAAATGATGATTCTAACCTCCTTAGTGCACTCGTGTCATGCCGGGTGTTATAATTTAATATATTTAATATTATATATATATATATATATAAATATATATATATATATATATATATGTTATATTATTTTATATTCATATATATAATATCTAAATATAGATCAACACCTGGCATGACACCCGAAAGCCTTCTTCAAATCCGACAAGCCCACATGTGCACAGCACAATGAAGGAATCCTATGATGCCTATAGGCATCATAGGATTCCTTCATTGTGCTGCACACATGTGCATATATAGAGTATATGTCCCTTTAACTTTTAGAAATCTATAATATAGATATATAGAAATTACGGAAACCCCTTCCCTAAACCCCATGCTAGTCTACCTAAACCCAGGATGCTCCGATTGTACTTTAATTCGCCCGAGCACACCCTTTATGGAACCCAAACCCTCAACCCTATACAAGCCCTTTGATGTGAAACCTTTTGAAGCAGTGACTGTGGCTGCCGTGTTTGGACGATCACCTCGAGGCACTCAAGTGCTCAGCTTGTGGACTTTCGATCGCTTTTGAACATTCGCTCGCAGTGACTGGAGTTGCACTCTTAATGCAAGCATTCACTGCATGCACAGCATCGATATAGCTGTAACGTATAGTGTTCGATCTGCTAGTGTTCGATCTGCTCAGCAATGATTGATGATGTGGCATTGGATGCTTGCATTCGCAAGCTCGCTGCCCTGAAGGTTCCCAAGGTCCCTTATATGCAGCCCAGCCCCAGCCCCCACCCAAAGGCAGCCCAGGCTTTCATCAGCGCGCCCCAATGCCCAGCCAGCCCAGGCATTCATCAGCATCATCCTCCTGGTGTACTGGTTGGATCCGAAACCACCGTTCTGCAATGAGACATTTGATGTCATAGAGCTTTATGCAGGTCGGGCAAGGATCACCAGGATGGCTCGGGCTGCTGGGTATATGTGTGTTGCTTCGGACCAAGCATACGACCCGTCTGAGAGATCAGCCCTCCACCTGAATGAAAACTCCGGCTTTGCGCTCCTAGGCTACAATCTATACAGTGCATGGGTTCCGCTTTAGCAACATGTACTGTAAACTCGCACCACAGCCAAGGTTGGCGGTCCTGATGGTTCTCAGTGGCTCGCTGCAAGGTGCCCTCGCAATCCTCGGTGTCGAGTGCAGCACATTTGTCTTCATGAACCAGGGCCGCTCAAAGAGAACCGAGCTAAACCCTTGGGGGGATCCTGGTGTAGATTCTGTACACGATGCTAATCAAGCAACATCCAGGACAAGGTTTTCCTTCTGTGGTGCAGGCTACATTAGTTGCTTCAGGGATCGTACAGTGGCCTTTAAGCCTGGGGTTTCAGATTTTGTGGCTTTGGTATTCCCATGCTGTCACTTCCCAACACTTCTATATCTCTCTCTCTCTCTCTCTCTCTCTCTCTCTCTCTCTCTCTCTCTCTCTCTCTCTCTCTCTGTGTCTATTGCAGTGGTGCTTTTGAGCTTCGCCAAAACATGTGGCAATAACAGCCTTTCTGCCGACACATAGCTGCCACAGTTTAGGGTTTATTGGGGTGTAGGGATTGGAGAATAAAACCCTAAACCCTGAACCCCCCCTAAACCCTATAAAACCCAAAAACCCTAAATTAAAAACACCTTTGCAGGACATGTCTCCTCTTGGTTCTATTGGCTGTGCTGGGCCACAACTTCATCGTGGAGAATCCAGGAAGCTCTGTGTTGGGCTACTTCCCTCGCTTTTCCTGGATGTGTTCGGTCTTGAAAGAATATGGGGTTCCTGCTGCTGGTCTTAAACTGTATATGCTTGTGCAATCGTGCAGTGCAAACACAGATGTGGGCTCAGGTTTATATCCAGAAGTTTTACATGTGCCACCATGGGCACACAAACCCGAAGAAGACTTTGCTATGGTCCACCACACCATATATCAGGGTATTCGACCTGGGACGGCCCAGAGGGGAGCAGCGGGTGTCAGGCAAGAAGCTGAGCAGAAAATACACGGATCATCTTGGAAGAAAGAAGGTGCAAGCGGGCTCCTAGGCTTATATAGTTTCCACAACCCATAAAGATTCTCAAGTAACCCCAATAGCATCACTGATATATAATATATCCCACCTAAGGATCTACCCTCCACTGTTCTCCCGGAAGATCGTGGAAATGATCGAACCCTCCCGGGAGATGCGGCCGTCTGTGAAGGCGGGACACAACAACCTCAACCCCAACTACCTCAAGATCCCATCTGCTGCAGGTGGCCGACCAAAGCTCCGAGAAGCCGCTCCACGAGATCTTCGCTGAGCTGTCCTGGGATAGCACGGACTGGGATGAAGCAGCTCTCGGTGATGTTGTGCTATATTTGAGGCTTGCGAAGAATGTCAGGGTTCCCAAGGAGTACAAGCTTTTAATTGAAAAGCTACGCTTTCCTCGGGACCTTCCTTCCCTGCATCCGCACCAGGGCCCTGACCATGATTTGTAGATTCGAAGCAGATTCTGCTGTACTTACAAACCCCTGGCATCCTACCTCAGATCCTCTACAGGGGCTACGTAAGGGCTACGTATAGGGGTGGTTTTGATCCTTCTGGCCGCATTTTGTCACTTGCGGGGCTCTGGTGCGCAAATTCGGGCTCGCAAACAATAGCGGAAATGGGCGTCCAAATGCCGGAAATGGGCGTCCAAATGCCGGAAATTGGCGTCCAGTACTGACACACACGTTTTCATGGCCCTGAACACAGCCCTGGGATTGCCTGCTATAGGTGTTTTGTGGCCCGAAAGATGTTTTGAGATGGAGCCGGGTAGGTCAAGTAGCACTGTGGGCCAGTCCAGGGAAAGCCTGGTTAGGGGCGGCCAAATACTCCATGATGTTGCGACCCGAGGGGTCGTAAAGACAGAAGATGATGATGATGAGAGAGAAATCTTGAAACAAATCGAGGCCGGCTCTAAACCCTTAAGTTCCCAAATTCTCCAACAGAAGCACTCAAGAAAGCAATCTTCAGTTCAGGTTCTGAAGCAGAGGCATGCCCTCATCAAGGAAGCGAAGGCTTGGCATGGGTTCGATCGATCAAACTTATCAACATATTCGATCCTGTCTAAAACAAATAAAATATAATATATTGCATGATAATATTATAATATATAATATGATACTTTAAATATGTTATATATATACAGGATCGAATATGTTGATAAGCTACAATTCCATAGTTGCACAATTGGTAAAATGCATGATCTTCCGGCACGATAGTATATGGGATTTTTGACTGAGTCCACTTAAGCTTTGTGTTGCATGTTAAGTATTGTATGTCGATCATGTTTTCGATGCGGCTTATAGCTCGCACAGGGTTTATGTTCAGTGGCATTCATGTACAAGTTTGCAGCTTAAGGGTTATATTTATAATGCCTGATGTGTTTCGTTTTAGAAATTACAATGGGCTAAACCCAAAACCTTAAACCCAAATGCCCCTTAAGTCCAACGAGATGCCTTGCCAAGTTGAAGGTCCCACTTGTAAATCCCAATCTCAGATCCTTGTAAGCCTCACATATATACAGCCTAACCCGTATATATATTATACATATATATATATATATATACAGAATATATTTCGAACACCTACATAGGCACCGTTCGGAAAATATAACCCCTGTAGATCACTTAATGCCCCAGAGATGAAATGCAGCCCAACAGAGCACATCCGCAGCGCAGGAAGCAGCCACAGCTGTCGATGCCAGTGAAGACCAGAAAGGCTGGCTCTACCTGGGGACTTTCAGTCTAGATCTCTATACCATAAATGTAAAGCTATCTGTTCTACACCCTGTAAACCCTTAAACCCTAAACCCTAAATATGAATCGACTTATTAGATCTGAGGGATCTATAGATATACATGCACAAACAGGTGGTGCTGACGAAAAGACCGAGTCAGAGAGACTGGCAGAGGACAAGGAGCTGCAACGGCAGGCTAAGGAAAAGGCCGAGCTAGAGCGACAGGACCTGCAACGACAGGCCAAGGAAAAGGCCGAGCTAGAGCGACAGGAGCTGCAACGACAGGCAGAGGAAAAGGCCGAGCTAGAGCGACAGGAGCTGCAACGACAGGCACAGGAAAAGGCCGAGCTAGAGCGTCAGGAGCTGCAACGACAAGCACAGGAAAAGGCGGAGCGAGAGCAAAAAACGAAGGAACTGCAGGAGGAAGCCAAACGCCAGGCCCAGGAAAAGAAGGAGCTGGAGCTACGAGCCAAGGAACAGGAAGAAGCCGAACGACAGGCAAAGGAAAAGGAACTGCAGCGACAGGCAAAGGAAAAGGCAGAGCTACAGCAAAAAGCAAAGGAACAGGAGGAAGCGAGATGCCAGGCCAGGGAAAAGGAGCTGCAGCGACAAGTGATGGAAAAGGAGCGACAGGTTCAGGAGCTGCTGAAGGAAAGGATGGAGGCCGAACAAAAGACATTGGACAGGGAGCTGCAGCGACAGGCAAAGGAAAAGGCCGAGCTTGAACGAAAAGCAAAGGAACAGGAGGAAAGCGAACGCCAGGCGAAGGAAAAGGCCGAGCAAGAGCGACGAGCCAAGGAACAGGAGGAAGCCACACGACAGGCACACGAGGAAGCCAAACGACAGGCACAGGAGGAAGCCCAGCGACAGGCAAAGGAACAGGAGGAAGCCGCACGACAGAAGCATGAGGAAGCCAAGCGACAAGCAGAGGAAAAGGCCGAGCTAGAGCAATTTAAGACATGGAGCAGAGAGGCACTCATGCAGGACATAGACACACAGCGTGCCAAGAAGGCTGACTTGGCAGCCAAGCAGGCCAAGCTGGCCGAACTCCAGAAGCAATTGGTGGATGTACTAGGGGAGACTGATGCACTGATGCAGTCCCAGCAAGCGCCGTTGATTCCAGGTGTTACCAAGCTGGAAACCCTGAGCCCCAGAGCCAACTCACTGACCCCAACGGAACCGCTGTCCCCACTGGAAACATCGAGCCAAGATGCTCAAGATCCTTGGCCTAGTCGCAGCCTGTTTCAGTCCCCAACACCACCACCCGCCCAGAAGTCAATGGCCACACCGTGTACCGCGACAAAGTCTCCCAGTATCTCCCTGCCTTCCTCAGGAAACCTGCAGCTGGCCATTCCCAAAGGCCAGCCACCAACCCCTGCAAAGGCACCTGCACCTGCAGACAAAGCCTCGCCGCCCCTCACCTCTGGTGCCATCACAAAGAGGCTTATGAGATGTATGGAACCGAATGCGAAGGGTCTCTACAAGGTGGCAAAGTGCATTCGCGATCAGTTCAATGCCGGTGGGGCATCCAAAGACAAAGTGCTAAAGCTTTTCGCTGCCTGCGACCACAAGCCGGACAGCCCTCCCCCTAAACCCTACATAAGCCGTGCATGCACCCTAAACTATAGAATCATCGATATATAAGAACTGAAATTACTCTTCCCTGAAAGGAGGTTTTCCTGAACAAGTTCTCCGTGGAGCGGGAGAAACACATCGAGCTGGAGACCGAGGTGGATTTCGAGTTCTTAACCAAGAAGGAGATGGCTGAAGATCAGAATATGACCCCGTTACTAAGCAGCAGTATAGCATGATCAGCAAAAACACATCAGTTGCAGAAGCTGAGGGCTGACATCGAAGAATGTGTTGCCCAAGCTGAGAACGACCCCAAGCGCAAGATTCGGTTTCTTTACTGCAAAACTATACATGTAACCTATATTATATCTATCTATAGCTCTTTAGGGCAAGCAGCTGCAAATTTTGCTGTCCATCCGAGGAAGCACCCCTACAAGATCGGGCACCTCCGGTACTACTGCGAGATCAAGGTTAAAGGCCACAACAAGTGCCCCGATCTGTACCTATAGCACTGTACACGACATTCAACATGCATCCTACTTGAACTAAACTACTTTCACAAAACTATATTGCTGCCTGAGGAAGAGAGACAGTCTGACTATGACCGAGACGATGGAGGCTGAAGCCTTCGGGAGTGGCCTTGACATGGAAGTGGATTTGGAAGAGGCCCTGGAGCAGGGTGCCAGCTGCTCTTTTTGCAATTAAGTTGCTGCACAGAGTTATCGCATCTGCACCGCTGCACTTCTTGCCTCAGCTACTTAAGCATTCGAGGTTCTTTGCCGGAGTCGATGACAGATGCAGCCGACGGGGCTGTGAAATCGGGCCCTTTGAATGAAGATCTCAGCAAGCTCTTGAAGAAGCTAGGGTACCCGGATATCCATGATACTTCCAAGCCCTCGGCCCTAATCGAAAAGGCTATTCAGGCCTGCACCAGACGATCGACGAAACTGGCACAAATGCTGCCAGCACGTGAGCAACCAAAAAAAGAAGATGCAGCCGCCGCACAAGAGGGTCAAGGGGAAACTTCAGAGCTGCAAGAGAAGCCTTGTTCTCAGCATTCAGATGATATTGCAGTATATGTAAATTTCTCACGATGCATATATACCTTCATTGCTCAGGATGTATGCAAAGATCCGGGCTGTCTACAGTGCTGTGGACGCCTGTTGCGAGAAGCTACAGAAGCACAAGGCTGAGGGTGTGCTGGATGGCTACAACGAGAAGTTGCTAGACCGCCTATTAATCCCGAATCCAATTCCCACAATGGTGCCCTGAATAGCTGTATCTGGAATTATAATTACAAAAACCGGCCTATGTAATCATATGTACTGTCACATACATTGCAAAATCATACTGATTAATTAATCAGTATGATTTTGCAATGTATGTGACAGCACCTGGGGTACTCCGTAGATGCCGTAGATAAAGAGTTTCCAGGGTCTTGCAAGATGCCATAATCCTACCAGACCCAAACCCCTGATCCTCTAGACCCCGCATACAATTAAATAATCTATCCTGTATCTGAGGATGGAAAACGAAATCGATGTGGAGCTCGGTGTATGCCGCAGGCTGAACCGTGGCTGCACATAAGAAACCGCTACCTCGAATATCTCTGTTATGTGTTCGGTGCATCTTACGACGAGAATAAATATTGCTCGACCTGAGGTTGATTGAATCTTCCGATCTGGAAACTCGCGCCAGGATTGCGAAGATAAACAGTAGCTATAGTTCCCCCAAACAATGTCCAAAACCTCTCGCAGGACCATCCTTCCGACCATGAAGCCGCAGGCTGCGGGCAAGGCGCAACCAAAGGTGCCACCCAAAGCCAGAGTCAAGGCTCCAGCTGAGCCACCTAACAAGAGGGCCAAGAAGTGAGAGCTGCATCTGAAGGATCCTTGCTAGAGGGCACATGGGCTGGCTTGCTGCAATCCTAACTCACTTATGTTAATCGTCTTTTACTACATATCATGGGATGGGGATCTTGGTTTGGACAATTTGCTGCATCAGTCTTGAAACTGTCTTAAAGGAAGCAGGCGATTATAAAGCCCAATCTTGGCAGCAGCTGGATCTGGTCAGCCACATACAGTTGGAAAAAAATCGGTGCACTTTGAGTGTGATCGTCGATGCATTATTTGCTAGGGTTCATGCTTCCATCCCAATCAGCGGCATGGCAGGTGATCCACAGCCCAGCCACACTCTTCGTGTGCTGGCTGAGCGAGTGGCCGATGGAGTGCATGTCTCAGATCCCTGTACTACACAACCAATCTGAAGCCCAGCCGAGACCCCCTATGAAATCCTGAACATAACCCTCCTCTCCCAAGCCTGGTGTAAACCAAAGTTTAATCGATCCTTATAAATTATATAGTGTATATCACGCAAAGTGGAGTCCCAAAGCTCTATACATCCCAACAGATTAATTGATCGTATGGTAATCCAAACAAAACCCCCAGCGACCGAAATTAATTGATCAGCCCAATAACTTAAGTGCAATCCAAAACAATGTCTATAGCTGTCTGATACTTACTAAGTCCATCGTCATTATAAGTCTAGGCCCTGGACCCTGCACAAAGCTCATTCAAGGAAACCAGCACACAAATCATCATAGACCCTATATAGCTATATAAACCCTATTATAATGACAGATATAGAGTATACTTATGTTCAAGGGGTCGAAACCTTCAACATAAATAGTTTAGCTGATATATGTTCTGAATTTGGGAAACCCGACGAACTTCTTCCATCAAAGACTTCAAATGCACTAACTACCCAGGCGCCAGCTTGTGTGATCGGCGAGATTGCTGAAGCTGTAGTTGCTGATGGTAGTGCTACGCAGAACATACGGGAGGCCACGAAAGTTGACAAGAGCCATAGTGAACGCAATGCACACAGAATGTTCAATAGATATGGCTTGGCCCTCCGAGTTCCAATCTCGTATATGGACGTGCCGCAGAGTAGCAGCGAGGATAGTGTCACGGTCCCGTACTTGAAGATCACGGATTTCCTCAAGCATTTGCTTAACAAGTTCGAAGAAGTCTTGTTTGCAGGGCTGAAGGCGGATTCCGATGCTGCCCGAGATCTTTGTTCTACCTTTTGGAGCCGTTACCAGAGCTACCATGGGGACCATGTGATCTATAGCGAAGTGCCTGCTAAAGATAGATCCTTTTGTGTTCCACTTCTGGTACATGGTGACAAAGGCCGAACATTGCAGAAAAGCCCCATCTTCGTAATGAGCTTCGAGTTAGTTTGGGGAATCTCACCAAGCATGCTCAAGAAGGTTGCTTATGATTGTCGCAACACTCGGTATGACACCAAAGATGGGCACCTCCAGTGGCACTGTGGCCGCCGTGCTTCGGGAAAGCGAACTTTTAGGGACATGTGTTTCGACAGCTGCCCTCTTAGATCTGCTGGTCGTTTCAACCCCGAAACCAAAGGCAATCACCAGCGCCACAACAATCGTGGGCACAGTTTCTTGAACCGCTTCCTGATTGGAGCAATCCCTTCCAAGCTCTACAGCCGAAATGCAGAAGTGCTGCCGTGCTTGTTGAAGCAAGCCGCTGAGGATCTCAAAGGCTGTTTCCAGGAGGGTCTGCTCCACGAGAAATCTGGGATGCGGTTCCGGTTTGTGTTCATCGGAGCAAAGGGCGATGCTGAGTGGCATTTTGATGCAGGGAACTTCAATCGGTCATATCATCGAACCGGAACCGTGAATGCTGCTCCGATTTGCCCGCTCTGTGAAGCTGGCACCGAAGGTGTAAGCTACACAGATGTCTCTGATGCGCCCGAGTGGCTGGCGAGTATGGGAACATCGGTGCCATGGGACACGACACCCCCTCTAAACCTGGCCCCTTTCTCTACAACCTTCCCAGCTAACCTCTACAAGTTCGACCCCTTCCATGTGTTGAAGTTCGGTATATTTCGTGATGCTGTTGCCAGCACGATCGTCAGATTGGCACTGATGGGCTACTTTGACTTGTCTGCTGAGGACTACAAGAACATAACTGATCGTCTCGCTAGGGCATATTCACTCTACAAGTTGTGGTGCCTGGCTGCAAACAAGAACCCTTCGTTGAAAGGCTTCACGAAAGCGAATTTCAACTTTGCAAAGATGTCTAAGTTTGCATGGGTGAACGCTAAAGGAAGTGAAGTCACGATGCTCATGCAATGGTTAGACTTCCTTGTGCCAAGCTTTGCAGCTGAACCGAAGCAGGCAAGCGATCTTGTGTTCTTGCGAGCAGCATCCCAAATGATTCGTGGGGGTTTGGATTATATCGGGGTGATGCATAGTCATGGCATTTGGCTCCCATTGAACTGCGGCAAGGTTCAGCTACAAGGGGGCTTGGTCTTCGCTCGAGGGTACGCCTTCTTAGCACAGCGCTGTATGGAGCAGGGTTGCACTGGGTACAATCTGCGGCCAAAACTTCATTACATGATGCACCTACTCGTACACCTCAAAGCCCAGATTGACAACAATGCTCCATGGGTGCTCAATGAAGCACTACACCTTTGCGAAAGCAATGAAGACTTTATAGGGAAATTGTCGAGGGTAAGTAGACGGGTTCATGCTTCCCAAGCTGCGCTCCGAACAACGCAAAGGTACCTTGTGAAGGTACGTATACTTCTTGAAAGGCTCCTTAAGTAGATTCCCTATATACTAAGACTTTAGGGTCTTTAGGGGTTTAAGTTTGGTTTTTTCGAATATTTCAACAGGGTTTTATGGTATAGGTAGCTGTCAACAGGGGTCTAGGGTTTAGGTTTTGAGGGTATCGCAAAAGGGGTTTAGGGTATAGCTTTAAACAGGTCTGCATTGAGGAGCCTTGGCACCAACCTTGTTTCGAGCATGCTGTCAAGAAGCGAGAAAGCAAGTCGCATGATTGCATTTTTTCGGAGAGGGAGCATTCCAAAGATTACGTTTCTTCCGAGAGGGAGCATTTGGCCGATTACCTTTTTTCAGAACAATTGCGTTTCTTGCCAACAGTGGCGCTTTTTCATGCATCTAAGGATTGTGCCTGAAATTATGCGGGGGCGGGTTGTCTAGGTATATATATATATATATATATATATATACATTTATATATATATATATATATATATACATTTATATATATATATACATATACATATACATATACATATACACAGATAGACAGTTACAGTTTAAGGATTTCCCGGCGTGAGGGGATTTATGCGTCCAAGATGTGAGTATGCGGCGATGGTGACTCAGTGTCTCTGGCCACAGGCGAGCAGCTGTAACAGCATGAACCACGGTAGTAGGAGACACTGGTCCGGGATGCATAATAGTCACAGCAGCAACAGCTCTACGACCACTAGACACAGCAGGGAAGAATCTCTTTAAGCATAGGAGCAGCAACTACATTGAAGCCATTAGCACAATAAGTCGCAAAATCCTCAGCATAGAATATGGGAGTTTCCGACATTGCGGGGAACCATATTTTGGGGTCCTTATAATAATGATCCTACTATTTAGGGTAGTCCCCTATTTTCGGGAACTCTCAACCCTAAACCCTAAACCCTTAATGGAACCCTTATAGATCCCCTAAAGGAACCCTTAAAGGGTACCCCTAATTTTCAGAAACTCCCGTATTGCTAGCGCCAATCATCCCTGAGCCTCGGTAGAGCACTGTGCCATGGACAGAGCACAGCTTGTCTAATAGGCAGGCTACGGTTGATGATATAAATTCTGCATTACCCCTAATAAGGAATTTACCATAATTCCCATAGTTTAGGGTCCGTAAGGTAATGCAGGATTTATATCATCAACAGTAGGATGTTCGTTTAAAGCCTTTGGAAAATATTAGTAGGTAAGATCCTCTTAATCCCAATAAGAGAAAATATGAAATGTCCCAAAGCCCCACCTAGCAGGCTGAGGATGGGCCTGGTTGCAACGATGTGGTGGTACTCTGAATTTTGGGATTCGGGTTAGAGTCCTTTCTACAAGGGTGTCGTGCCACGGTTGATGATACAACTCCTGCATTACCCATAATAAGGAATATACCATAGTTCCCATAGTTTAGGGTCCTTAACGTAATGCAGGATTTATATCATCAACCGTATTGCTGGGACCTGAAGAGGGAATCTACTTTAAAGAACTACCCCTGTGCGATGTTCGGGTTTCGGCACCCTAAACGCGGGGCTTACTTAAAGAATCATGGGACGTAGTAACTAGGGTTATAATTCGGGTAACTAAACTCATAACTACTTACAACCCTATTTAAGGTACTTATAACCTTACTTACTGAGTCCTATGATCCTCCAAGTGAGTGTGCGTGAATAACCCCCATCCATTTACATGACTCTTAACATGGTTATCGTTCTATTTTACTCTTATCCTGTTACAGGACTTGGGGTCTGTGTGATCTACTTCATGCGCCATTTGCCACTCTTATCGTTTTACAGGCAATTGGACTGCGTATTCTAAAAATCTCGGTTATCGTTCTTTTTGCTCTTATCGTTTTAAGGAATAGGCAATGTTCTTGACTTAAAGACTCTTTCATGTAAACCCCGATAGCGGTGCTTTTTATCATCCCTCAAGTAAGGTTTCGAGCTTCGGAGCTAAAATTATTTCAGTATCGGACACTTCTTCTACCGGGCAAACATCCATCAACAGCCACCCAGAGACTTAAGTGCAGAACTCGCCAACTCCCACCAAAGCCAGGGAAAGCGGTAGCCAGGCATCGCCTGTAGCAGACAGGGAGCAATCCACACCAAGAGGGTCCATGCTCCGAAGGGTCCAAGTACTCTCTAGCATAGTAATAGGACGTTGGGCCCCTTTGAGTTACCAGATGCCATAAAGCAGGACTACTTGGAACATTGTAGACCCTCTAACATACCCTGACTACCACGATTAAGGACCATAACCCTCAACCCTAAACCCTAGACCGCATAAGGGCTCTATGAAAGGGCCATTGGGGCGTCCTGGTTTAAGGCCTACCTAGACCAAACAGATCCTCAAGAGGGTTCCTCTTCATGATTTCCTTGTCGTCTACTTAAAGGATCATGGGACTTAGTGAGTATAATAAGGTTATAAGTACCTTAATTGGGCCTATAAGTAGCTATAGTATAGGTACCCTAATTATAATCCTGGTTACTAAGTCTCATGATCCTTTAAGTAAGCCCTTGAGAAGGGCAGGCTATTCAGGGCCTAGGAAGGAATCAACAAGGGAACCCAAACCTCCTAAACCACCGAAACTCCCTAAACCCCTGACCCCCTAATCACCTAACGTAACAGCCAGAAAGTTGGAATATGATTATCTTATATAACCTCTTTATGGTAGATTATATAGGGTATCCTGACCTGAAACCATATTCCCACTTTCTGGAGTTCCCTTTAACCCCCTTTAACCCTCGCAAAAACCCCACAGATCGCTTGTAGAATCCTTACTTGTGGATCCCCTTTGAAGGAGCCCCAAATCCTACGAACCCTCAATGAATCGACTGAAGAGTCCCCCGGCACCTTCCTCTCTGTTGCCCGGTGGGGCACAGGAGGAGATCAGCAGTCGATTCAGCTCCTGGCCGCTTGAGGCTTTAGTCCTAAAGCCCATAATAAGGGTTTAGGGGTTTAGGGTTTAGAGGTTCAGGGGTTTGGGGTTTAGGGGTTCAGGGTTTAGGGCTTGGGGATTGATGGGTTTAGGGTATAGGGTTTAGTATGACCCCGTAAGCCCCGTAAGCTCTAGAACCCTGAAAATCCGATGATCTTGATAAGCCCTACACACCCTATAAGTCCTATAGACTCCACAAGCCCTATGAGCTCTCTGCAAGCCCTATAAACTCTAGGTGATGCCGCTCCGAGGTACCGGAGCGGCAGTGGTCGTAGATGCAGCGGCCGCTGCGGCAGTAGTAGCTATAGTAGCAGCAGCAGAAGTAGTAGTAAGCGCAAGGCAGCGCTGATCCCCAGCCAAACCGAACCCCGCCGTAAACCCTAATAAGACCTTCTAAAACCGTCATAGGACCACATGACTATCAACCCGAAGGATCCCAATTTCATATAGGGGCAGCCGATGGGGCAGACCTTCAAAGACAGACGGGTAGGTCTCTAACTTGGGGCCCAATATAGTACGGCACCCTTATAAAGGGCGCCTTAATCCATGTACTATATGGGTACATGGACCTCTCAAACCTAAGCCTTAAACAAAGCCCTTGTAGAGCCCCCAATAGAAAGGGACCCCAGTTTAGACCCTAAGCCCTAAACCCCTAAGAGAACTACGCACAGTACTGTTGATTCACAAAATCCTGCGTTACCCATTATAAGGAATATACCATAGTTCCCATATTTTACAGTCCTTAGGGTCATGCAGGATTTTGTCATCAACCCTAAACCCTAAGCCCTATAGATCCCTTAAAGGAGCCCCTTAAAGGTAGCCTTATAGATCCCTTTAAAGGAACCATTTTGTCCATCAACAGTAGTGATAGAAAGGTCTGGCTCCTGACGGGTTCCACGCAGCGTCTCGAGGACTTCCAAGGCTTTTCTTCCTGCCTCCAGTACGACCTCTGCCCACGTGGCTTGAGGGGTTTAGGGTTTGGGTTTGGGGTTTAGGGTTTGGGGTTTAGGGTTCTAGGGTTTTTGGGTTTAGGCTTGTTTGGCTGTCGGGTGTTAGTGTTCAGGGTTTAGGGTTTTAGGGTTTAGGGTTTCAGGGTTTCGGCTAGGGAGAGTAGGGTATAGGGTCTTGGGTTTAGGGTTTGGACTTAGGGTTTGGGGTTTTAGGGCTGGCTTCCGGTTAGGACCCGCGCGAGCAATTTGAGAGTACGGTACAGAGCCTGGGGTTTAGGGTTTACGAGGATTTTTAGGGCGGTGTGGGCTTAAGGACATCCAAGCTTTCTGATTTAGGGATTAAGGTCTATACTTAGAGGATAAGGAGGCATGGCAAGTAGGACGTCTGCAGAAATCTCACTATCTCGGAGACCCTAGAAATCTCCGATTCCCAAAAAGAACACCCTGAACCCTGAATAAAGCCTACAAGCTCCACTGAACCTTAACCCTAAATGCACCGCAAGCCCCAAAAGAGAACCCCGTCAGAGGGACCCTAAACCCCTAAACCCTAAATGCCCAAACCTTGGACCCCTAAACGCTGAACCCAAACCGCCAAACCCCTAAACCCTGAACACCCCTGAACCCTAAATCCCTAAACCCTGAACCCAAACCCCTAAACCCCTAAACGGCCCTGAAACCCTTAAACCCCTAAACCCCTAAACGGCCCTGAAGTGCCCCTAAACCCCTGAAGCCCGGGGCGCTGACGTCCATGAGGGCCGCCCAGAATCGGAGCAGATCCGTCTCGGAGCCCAAGGCCGCGTTGCCTCGCTCATTTTGGGGCTTAGGGGTTTAGGGCTTATAAAGGCTTCTGTAAGGGTTCCATTAAGGGTTCCTCTAAGGGATCTATAGGGGTACTATACGACTATAAGGGTTTAGGGTTTAGGGATTTTTTTGGCCTACCTAAGCCTCTCTCGTCCAGTACCCTGCGGATTCCTAGGGGAGCTTAGGGTTATAGTCGAAAGGTGAACGCTTAACGGCTACCTACTCTACAGCTGGGAAGGCACAGTGAACCTATAGTTTTAGATGTAGTTCCTTGAAGAGGCAGATGTTTTGGAGTTAAGGGCCTATGGGGGGGGGGGGGTTCGGATTTAGGTTTAGAACATGGGGTTTTGAGTTTCGGGGGCCTTAGGGGGTGTGGGGTTTCGGGGCTCCAGTGGTTCAGGGCTTGTGGGCATGTAAGGATGAAAGTTACCGGTTAAAGAGCCCTTAAACCTAAACCCTAAGCCAGCGCTCGCAGTCCCTAAGGCTCCATGTGCCCATATAGTCGGTACTTATAGGCCTTAAAGAGGTCCCACTATACAGGTACTTTAAGGCCTGGGGCCACGGTTTAGGGTTTAGGGTTTATAGGGTTTAGGGTTTAGGGTTTCTACAGTATATGGGTACATGGAGCCTTAGAGAGTCTCACTCTCCTCTCCCATCAGGGGTAGTTATACGTGGGGTGATAAGTAAGGTAACTAAAACTACAACCCATATTGGGGGGACTTATAACTCTACATAGAACTACCCATGAACCTCCAAGTGAACCCTATAATGCCCTTATAGAATCCCTATAGGTCCCTTTAAAGGGGGCCCTTTAAGGAACCCCTTATAACTACCCATGAACCTCCAAGCTCTCCCTTCAGCATCTTCTGGGGCTCAAGGGCATCTGCGGCTTCCAAGTCTTTTCCCCACGACTTCCAGGAAATGAACTCAGCGGGGACAGCGAGCGCAGGCGACAAAAAGAAAGAGTGAGACAGAAAAAAAGCAGATCCACGTCTTCAGCCCCAAACCCGTAGAAACTCTGAATCCGAAAAGCCCTAAACCAGATAATCTATCAGTCACTTTCTGCCTTCATCTCCAACCCTACAGCCCTCAACCTCTGCAGCCCGAAACTCGAGGCCCCTCAAGCCTTCAATCCCCAAAACCCGTATTAAAGCCCTAAGAACTGAAAATCCCTAAAGAGGGCTTAGGTTTTAGGGTTCCTGGAAGCATGCTGCCGTATGCAGCTTAAACTCGAAACCCGGAATCGCTGAAGTTCTAGGCTCGGAAATCTATTGTATTGTGTTTTCTTGCTTGTGCTATTAATTCTGGTTTTTAAGTTTACAGCCTTGGTGTGTTACCTTTGCTGTCTTACATGACTTTGTACTTGCAGCTTTCTGGTAGTATGTTTGTGTGTTACCTTTGCTGTCTTATATGACTTTGTACTTGCAGCCTTGTTCTTTCTGGTAGTATGTTTGTTGAGTGCCTCATGTTTTCTTGTTACAGGAATCTAAAAGATTTTATGGTCTAAGGAGTTATGTTGACTTTAATGGGGTTCTGGAGCTTGTTATAATGCTCTGATACGTCAGTCTGCACGCTTTATAGAATGGTTTGTAGAGCTTTGACAGAGTTCAGAAGCAGTTTCTAAAAGGTCCACTAGCTGCCTACCCTCTTGATCTTGGAAGGCCGCTGAAACCCAAGATGAGTATGCAAGTCAATGCCTGGACCCCAAAAGTATGTAGAACAATCGCCTTTTATAGGCTTTGGGCCATTATTTTACCTAGTTTTTGGGGGTCTAGGTGCAAGTCCGACTTCGGCTGTTACCTCATTCGCAAGAGCCCCCGGAAAAATACCGGCCCTTTTTGAAGGATCATGGGACTTCGTAACTCGGGTTATAACTAGGGTTGCTATACTTATAGCTACTTATAACCCCGATTAAGGTACGTACTCATAACCTTACTTACTAAGTCCCATGATCCTCCAAGTTGAAGCCCCGTTTGAAGTCAACCAGTACATAAATGAAAGGCCGAACCCAGAAACGAAAGCCCAACAGAAAGAGAAACCTCAGCTGAAAAAGCAAGTTGGGAGTTTGGCGCCTCCGGCATTCCTCAGGCCGAAGACGCCTTCTTTCCAACAAGATTCAGGGCACCACAAACGTTGCCGAACGGATTCCTATGAGGCCTCCTGTGAGGGTTTCTTTCAGCGTTGCTGTCAGGGTTCTTCTAAGGATTCCTATAAGGGATTCTGTAACGTCGAAGAGCTCAGTCTATTTGGCTTGCAAGCACCGGATTCGGGGGTTTGGTGTACTGGCCACCCTGCTTTGTAGGACCCCCGGAAGGATCTAGAAAGTAGATCCCCTAATTTGGGGCTCTATACTACTAAGGGTACTTTATAGGAACCCCCATTAAGGGATCTACGTTTTGGATCCTCCCGGGGGACTGGGAAAATGCAACCGTGGTGTGGAAGGGCTCTGGCCTATTTCTCTCGGGATGGGCTCCAGTTAAAGGAATCAGCTTGTGGACAACTGCAGAGTTTAGGGTTTGAAGTTATGCTACAACGCTCCCACACGACACCAGGATCTACGAACAAGGGGGTCATGCTCAGAACTCCACAAGCCTGGATTCTAAAACCACAAAACTGGCAGACTGGAATGAAACGCCTTTGTACCAGGAATGCCAGACCCAGCCGAAGCTCAGCCATTTCTAAGCGAAACGTGGAAGCGGGCCAGAGATGCGAGTCATCTGCTGGCGCAAGTAGGTTTCAAACAGCAAGTAGGTTTCAAACAGGCTGCGGAGGCATGCTGGTCACCACACAGCATATGTATATCTCCAGTCAGTCACGCATGCATATACAAACCTTATACAAGTGCATACATATGCATACTCTGCTCTAAACCCTAAACCCTAAACCCTAAACCCTAAACCCCAAACCACCAGCCAAAGGTGCCTTCGACTGCTCAGGAGCCCTCGAACCCCCTACCTCTGCAGGCTGGAGCTTACCTAGACCTCTGGGAGGATCCAAAACGTAGATCCCTTAATGGGGGGTTCCTGTAAAGTACACTTAGTAGTACAGAGCCCCAACTTAGGGGATCTACTTTCTAAAAATCCTCCCGGGGGTCTGGGTTAGCGGTATCTCAACAGCCCGAGGGGCTTTGATATGCCGTAGGCCACCCTGGTGCGGGCGGAGGTAGCGCCACCGAACCAGTGACCTTCCCCGGAGAGTGGAGTAGGTGCCTATATAACGTAGGCTTCCTTTCAGGCTCCCTTGCTACGGGTCTATATATACAAGGGCTAAGTAAGTGTACTGGCCTTGATAACTCTGTTTAGGATTTAGGATTGGTTTAATACTTATGGAAATGCAGGCTGCTCCCTTTTTAACGGCTCTGTAAGGGTTGCTAATAATTGCTGTTTTGGGTACGGTCTAGTATACCGTAATTGCGATGGAGAGTCCTAGCGAAGAATACTGGTGAAAGTTTCAGGTTTTAGAGCGGCTTCCTATTCTGAGCAAAGGACCTGGTTCTGATTTCTGGACAAAGAACAACAGCAGCAGTATGTTGGTGAGAAGATGACTACCCTGCCGCAAAACCCTTAACCTTAAACCCCAAACCCCTGAACCCTAAGCCCTAAACCCCTAAACCCTAGACCCTAAACCCTAAACCCCTAAACCGTACTGGTCAGTACCCTGATCCAAGCCCGGCAACCTAAACCGCAGCCCTACTGCTCATGTGCAAAACCATGCTCTAGCCATAATTAAAGGATCATAGGAGGCAGTTACTAGGGTAACTATACTTACAACTACTTACAACTACTTATAGCCCCAATTCTGGGACTGATAACCTTACTTACTAAGTCCCATGATCCTTCAAGTACTGAAGAGTACAGCATGGTTCCCATACCTTCAAGTGCTTCGTAAGATAGGCTGCTTAAGATACCGCACGACTGTGTCCACGAAACCATGAACATCCGAAACCCCGACATCCCTGCCGGTTTAGAGAAAGCAAAAGATGTCATGATGACCCCTATCACCGACTTCAAAATCTCCATCACGACCGATAGAAACCACAACGAATCACTTGCAGAGACGCACAGAACTCACAGACCGAATATAGAGACCAGGATGGAACCCCAACTCGCCGCAATACAAAGTGCTCCAAAGAAGCCCTAGTACCCGAGCACCTTCAGTAGAATCCATCTTGCTCAAAAGTTCCAGCCGGAAGCCCATATCAGGTTTGTGATTTTCGAAGGATCCCTAAAACAACAACGAACAGATGAAAAGCTTGTTGGAATCTTGTGATTCCCAGGATCCCTGCCTGGGAGGCCCTTCCGAGGGCCCACTGAGGTGACGACCTGACAACGCTCCCGGCAGCTACAGGCTTCGGTTTGCTCAGGGGTCATTTAGGTTCGGGTTCCAGTGTAGGATTTGGATTTCTCATCTAGCGGGTCCACATATACCAGAGTTATGGAATTAGGCCCCGAAAGACCATCCCTATTATGGTTTTGGGGCCCTAGTTTCATGATAGGAGTATATATGGACTCTCTTGGTAATCAGTGTTTTTTGGAGTCTTGGGGTTGGGGTCTAGGATTTCCAGGGCTCGAAGATTGGGGTTGTACAGGGTTATGAAGTTGGCAAGGACGCGGGCCCGCTTGCTCGGAAAGTTGTCACCCGGGTTCTTCAGTATCTTACACTCTCTAAGACCACGCGACCAGTAGTATACGAGCAGAAACAAGTTCGGGATCTACAGTCTGTGTGTAGTATGTACTCTGGCCTATTCGGAGTCTTAGGGACATTGGAGCGCCGAGGGATGCTCTAAAGGATAACGCTTCGACCAACCCGGAAAAAACAAAACACGCAGCCCAAACACTAAATGCACTGAACTCGTAAACTACCCAAAACATCAACCGATAAAACAAAAAGAACCCACCAACCCAACACACCCAAGCTCGAAATAGCAAAACTGTTAGTAGAGGTAGCAATAGAAAATTATGCCTTGATACCTAAATCATATACCCCACCAAAAAGCCCTAAACCCTGGCGCCCCCTGGGATGAGCAGGATCCGAAGGCCCTGACGAGATCCGGAGCAACGCGAGGAGCAGGCTCCTAGCAGCTCCGAGTCTGGGGGAAAACGGGGGGTTTTGGGTTCCCTTAAAGGGATCTACTTTGAGGTTCCCTTGGCTTCCTTAAAGGGATCCATATAAGGGTTCTATGAGGGGATCTTTAGGGCTCCTTTGAAGGGGTCCTTTAGGGTTCCTTAAAGGGATCCATAGGAGTCCTATGCGGGATCTTTAGGGTTCCTGAACCCTACGGATCTAAGGACTCATGTATTAAGGCTTTTGGGCCAAAGGCGTAAGGCTTTTCGGCTATTCTGATCCCGAGGGTAAGGGGATCTAGAGGGTTCCCTTAAAGGGATCTACTCTCAGACTCATGGGTAGTTGTAAGTGGAGTTACAAGTCCCCTAATCTGGGTTACAAGTAGACTTACCCTACTTATAACCCCACTTATAACTACCCACCTAAACCCCAAACCCCTAAACCCCTAAACCTAGAAGTAGAGGGCTCCTTTTTAAAGGGATCTGTAGGAATTCCCTTAGAGGGATCTATAAGTAGGCGCTCCATCAGGGATCTATAGAGTTTGGGGTTTCAGGAGGGCGTTTGGGGTCCGGAGACCCTAAACCTGAAAACCCTAAACCCTAAATATTGTAATATAACGAAATATATACGTATCCCTTAATGAACATATTCTAATATAACTATATTAACTATATATACATATCTATATCTGTATGTATGTATACATATATATGTTTATATGTAAATAAATAAATATATATATATATATATATATGTATATGTATATACATATATATATATATATACACATATTATGAAACAGACAAATATATAAGCCCTCAACCTTGAATCTTATAAACCTTACTGCCGACGCCCCCCCCCCCCCCCCCCCCCCCCCCCCCCCCCCCCCCCCCTTGGCTCCAAACTCCAAACTCACAGGATTTGGCCTTTGCCCTGCCCCAAATTCGTTAATGTGGCTTTGTTGATCCATAGTGCTTGGCAACATAGGAGAGCACTGTGTGCTGGGCAAGCTCTGCTGCCAAGAATCTGGACCGTTGGCTTGGTCACACTTGTCCGCAGGCTGGTCGTAGCCCTCTCTGCGGAGCCTGGTTTCCGTTTTTTTGTTGAACCCTCGTGTCTTTTGGTGACTCCGCCTGGTTTCAGGATTTAGGGTTTACAAGCGAGCCCGGGCCGCCGCTTCCTGGTGTTTTTGCTGTTGTAGCGCTGCTTCAGCCTTTTGCGAAGCCTTTTGCGGTAGTAGGCTGGGCCTTGTTTTCCTTTGCTGCTAGAGCCCTGGTGGTCAATCGATGCAGTCTTGGGTTGGCTGCTTGGAGCTCCCTGGCATAAATCGCCAGTTCCCGGTACTGGCCATTCTCCATCAGGGCGAAGGCGTGGGTCAGCCGGTTCATGTTGCCCTGCTCCATGTCGCAAGAAAAGTTTTATGGAGCGCTGTTAGAGAGCATTTACCTTATGTCGTTGTTTTACAAGTGTTCACGAGGTTTGAGACAGTATACCGGATACGGCGACCTCACCTTTCCATCCTCTAGATATAAGGCCTGGACCCTTCAAACGGCTATGATGGTCATTCATATGTTAATGCAGCACAAAAGTCTGGTTTAGGGTTCCGGGTTGGCTCTGCAAAGGGCATTGCAGAAGAGAGTGGGGAAGCCATGGCCTGTGGTACTTGCGAACAGTCCCAGGCAAGATCTCTCCTAAACCCCCCTGAACCCTAAAACCCTGAACCCGAACTAAACCCCTAAAGAACCGTTAGAGAACCCGTAGAGATACCGAAACCCCCAAATACCCAGTGGCCGGTCCTGGTGACCTCCAGTCCTTTGAGGCTTGGCTGCAGGTCAAGATTTAGAGCTAAGGGTTTAGCTTTTAGGGTTTAGGGTATAGGGTTTTAGGGTTTAGGGTACAGGGTTTTAGGTTTTAGGGTATAGGGTTTCAGGGTTTAGGGTCTAGGCGTTTTAGGGTATAGGGTTTAGGGTTTTTAGGGTATAGGGTTTTAGGGTTAGGGATAGGACCCTATCAAACCTTCCTTTGTTCCTCGTGACGATTTACTTTTACAAGTCTTCTAAAAGGTGGGTTATTTGGGGTCCAGGTAGGGTCTTGGGTTTGCGGTTTAGGGCACAGGGTCAGGCTGCAGGATCGTGATGATCTTCGTGAGGCATAGGGTTTAGGAAAAGGCTTCCAAGTTGGTTTCAGGGCGCTCGAACATAGTACAGGGGCCTTAACAACTAGAACAAGGCTTTGGGGTATATTGTACTCCAACTATATTAATAAGGACACCCTCCCCCAAAAAAATAGTATAGTAGGTAAATCTTAAGGCACCTATAGTATAGTACCCTTATAGATCCCTTATAGTAGCCCTTATAGACCCCTTTCAAAAGGAACCCTTTAAAGGGAACCCTAGGTAATTATTAAGGCCCCTATAGTAGGGCTTCCAGGGTTCCTCTGTCCATCCTCAACCAGCACTTGCAGAACGAGTTTCTGCAAGGTTCGGGCCTACGCCTAAACTGCAGTTGTAGGGTTTAGAAACATTAAGCCCTAAAAGCCTAAAGGAACCTAAAACCCTAAACCGTAAACCCTAAACCGATATTCTCTAGACCTTAGGCACTTCTCGAAACTTTTCGTGACAATAAGCATGGCAACCATCGGTTAGGTCTGTATGGGCTTCGCTGGATTCGATGGGCCGGTTCTTGATAGCTTAAAGGTTTACGGGTTTAGGGTTATAGGGTTTAGGGTTGCAGGCCTTACCCTAAACACTGAACCCTGAAATGGTCTTGGCGAGCTCAGTGTCCCAAAAAACCAGCCGGCTCGGAGGAGAATTCAAACCTAAACCAAGAACTCCTAACAATACATGATTATTGTTTCGATCTGTAGTTCCTTAAAAGGTAGGTCTTTGTTGGCCGCAGGTAAGCCTGAACCAGAAAGAAGAAACACTAGAAGTGCAGGGAGCAACCACGAACGAAGTCGACCATGGCAACATGAAGTTTAGTGCAGGTTTGTAATGCTGCCTTAACCTTTTGGACTGTCGGTCTCGTGTTTAAGGCCCGGGGATTTTGAAACCACCTCCATCTTCAAGCAGACCCCGAAGCCCCTAAACCCTAAACCCTAAACCCTATAAACCCTAAACCCTAAACCTATGCTTCCAGGGACCTTACTATGGGGTCCTTAAGGGGTCGAGCCCGGAAGCCTGAACCGCTTGAGACCCTGGGTCCCACCTACTTGGAGGATCACGGGACTTAGTAAGGTTATCAGTACCTTAATTGTGGTTATAAGTAGTTATAAGTATGGTTTCCCTAATTGTTAATCTTAGTTACTAAGTCCCATGATCCTTTAAGTACCCCTAAACCCCCCTTATAGAACCCCTATAGATCCCTTTTCAGGAGCACTTTTAAGGAGCCCTAGTTACTAAGTCCCATGATCCTTTAAGTACCCCTAAACCCCCCTTATAGAACCCCTATAGATCCCTTTTCAGGAGCACTTTTAAGGAGCCCTGGTTACTAAGTCCCATGATCCTTTAAGTAGGCCCCAGGCCTAAGTACTCCACGCGCTGATGGAAAATGGAAGGCACCTCAGGCGAGCTGAAGGCCCATTCGTTAGTTTCAAAAAGAGGAGGGATCGTGCCTTAGCCTCAGCCGGACCCTTAAGTTGTACATATATGTATTAAGTGTATATATATATATGTATATGTATGTCAGGGCTCGAATGGCCGCAACAGCGCGGAATATCGTTAGCCCCAGTGCCCATGGAGGGCACGCCTTGGTGCCGCGCTTGTGAGGCGGCATGCAGTTCTTTGTCAAGACCCTGACAGGCAAGACGATTACGTTGGCCGTTGAGGCCAGTAGCACGCTCGACAACGTCAAGGCTACGTTCCAGGAGAAGGAAGGTGTCCCGCCCGGCCAGCAGTACCTGATCCTTGCTGGCAAGCATTCGGAGTTAGAGGATGGCCGTACTCTCCCGGGTTACAACATCCAGAATGAATCGACCCTCCGCTTGGCGCTGCGTCTGCGAGGCGGCATGCAGATTTTTGTCGAGACCTTGACGGGTACGACGGTCACTTTGGACGTTGAGGCCAGTGGCACGTTCGACACTGTCAAGGCTACGTTCCAGGATATCCTTGCTGGCAAGCAGTCGGAGTTAGAGGATGGCCGTACTCTCCCGGGTTACTACATCCAGAATGAATCGACCCTTCACTTGGCGCCGCGTTTGCGAGGCGGCATGCAGATCCTTGTCAAAACCTTAACGGGTAAGACGATCACCTTGGACGTTGAGGCCAGTGGCACGTTCGGCAAGGTTAGACGAAGAGTGCGGCAGTGTCGTAGCCATCGGCTCCATCGGTGCCTTCGTGTACCAGGCCGGGTCCTTGCTCTCGCAGCAGCTGTAGCTCGATGATCCGGTGGATGCCTGCAACCTAGCAGCTTTTGCTAAGATCTTACTTGCTTGATGCGTTATATGTGCTCGGCATGCGTGCTTGTATATACGCTGTCACTGTGCATGCATGTATGTCTTGAGCGGGCACGGTTCATTTGATAATCGTGTGGGGTGTAGCTTTGCTGTTTGCCTCCCCCCGCCCCCGGAGGAATAGGCGCAGAGCTTTGTTTGAGTTACCGGTAGATTCGTGCAGGGACTGTTTCCTTGAGGCCGATCCTGCACTTTGTAAGGGGTAGTGTTGCTCTGATGATTGCCTCCCTGGCCCCAGGAGGAACAACTCAGAGTTTTCATACAGCTGCAAGTTTGCTTGTTAGGGTTTTGACTTTTGGGAGTTTAATTATCCCGTTTTGTTCGGGTTTGGCGGGTCATAGGTGAGACGACTTTTCGGTCCAAAGGGCTGGTCGGTTACATCTCACTCTACCCGCTCTGACATGCTTGAGTGCATACTGGCACGGTTTACATGCCTCAGCCAGATTTCTGCGCCAGGCTTTTGAATGTAATTAGGTGCATCCCAACGGCTGCGTTCGACCCGAACTCATTGCCCAGAAAGCGAGAAAGCGAGATATGTATGTCTCTCTCTCTCTCTCTCTCTCTATATATATATATATATATATACAAATATGTATATATATATATATATATATATATATAGATACACATACATACATACATACATCCATGCATGCATGAATACGTACATACATAGGACGAAAACACTCGTATCGATAAGGATACAAAGTAAAATTATTAAGCTTCTACTAAAAATCGAAGCAATTGTTCGCATCACAGTACTGACAAGACACACACTAATGATAGTTAATTTCATCATCAGAATAATCTGAGTAATAATCAGTGTATCCTGGCTATAAGCTTATATAATAAGCTATAAGGACACCCCAAGTAAGCCAGCCTGCAAATAGTTTTCTAAAACGTCCGTGCGTCGAGGTGGAGGAGCTTTGTTTGGGTTTGAGCAGTTCAGGACTCTGTTGCCCCAATGGTGGATATTGGGCAGGGAAGGCTTTCGTTGGGAGGCCTAGATTCATAGGGATCCTTAGGGGTGTAGGGGGAGGGGGGGTAGGGGGCCTTAAGGCCCATATTAAGGACTAATAAGGCCTATTTACGGAAATATAGTCCCCTACACCCCTCCCCCCTACACCCCTAAGGATCCCTATGATAGATGCCAGTTTATCGCTCGGTTTAGGGTTTAGGGTTTAGGGTTATAAGCCTTAACCCGGCATAATCTGACGGGGCTGGTACAGATTATCGGGTTGAACATGCGATATTTGGTCAGTTCCAAGTCAGCAGCACTCTGCCCCCTAAGGGTCCATGGATCCTAATAGGGTTCCTTTAAGGGTACCATAAGGGTTCCTTTAAAGGGATCTATAAGGGATCCATAAGGGTTTAGGGTAGAAGGGTCCATGTACACAAGTAGTATATACTTTGGGCCCAATGTACGTATATAGGGACTACATTAAGGCCAATGGATAGACTATTTAGGTACATGGACCCTTAGGGCTCATGCCTTTTTGAGTTACTTGCCCAAAACTTGTGATGACTCTCGGATCTGTCGTAGACACACGGAAACACGGAACCCAATCACACTTTTGCACAGCCCCTTACAGTACGTCGGTAGGTTCTGAAAACAAGGGACGGCAATCCTAAAAAACACACATAGCAAGAGACTCTTGCTTACGATGTCAGCTTGCCGTGCCTGTGCGGAAGTGCTGTCTCCATCCACGGCCACCTGTTGCACCTGTTGCTGGCTTAACTTTGAGGTTGCTTTGGTTCGAGCCCAACGAACTTACTCATGTACGGCAGGCTGTAGCCCGTTAGGAGGCTAAGTTTAGGTTAAGGGTTGAGGGTCTCAGTTTGAGAAGTTAAGCTTCTTGGTGTCGAACTGGTGATCGCGAATCTCGCAATGAGGCTTCATGCCTACATTGAGGTTGGGGCACTGGCCACATTGGACATGTCGACTCTTGTAATTCCGGGAACCTCATTAAAGGGGCGCTTAGACTCGGCATCGGAACCTCTACGCTCTACATAAGGGCGCCATTGAAGGCGTTCAAGAACAGGACTTCCTGGGCTGTCATTGACACCTGGCATCGTTGCAGGAGCACCAAAATCACTGTGTACCCACCCAGAGCCTCCAAAACCCCTTAATTAAGGAATATACCTTAAATTATAACAGGAGCCCTAATATGATTTAAGGTATAATCCTTAATTAAGGGGTTTTGGAGGCTCTGGGCAACCCACATGCTCTGACATTGAACATACTGGACTAAACGCTCAAACCTCAGTTGTAAGAAGCCGCCTAAACAGTAAACACTACACCGTAAATCTCAAAATCCCTAAATCACAACCCGAAACCCTAAACGGCCCTGACGCAAAAACCCTAGGCCCGAATGCCTTAAACCCTAAACCCAAAGTCCTAAGCCCGAAAGCCCTAAACCCTAGGCCCTACGACCCTATTGCCCTAATCCCCCAACAACCCCACCACTCACCCTAAGCCCGAAAACCCTGAACCCAAAACCACTAAAACCTAAACACTAAACCCGAAACCCCTAAAACCCTAAAGCCCGAAAACCCTAAACCCCTAAAGCCCCGAACCCCTAAAACCCTAAAGCCGTAAAGCTCTCAACACCCTAAAGCCGTAAAACCCTTAAAACCCTAAACCCCTAAAGCCCAAAACCCTAAGCTGGCTTGGGCTCCGGGCCAAAGCGGCAGCTCGTTCCTCGGCAGAGATTGGAAGAAACACCTGGCCCGTCCGACTGCAGGGCTAAAGAGGTGGGATTTTGCTAATATGGGTAGTTGTCAAAATTAGGGTCCTTTCTTGGGTAGCCTAAAAAAAAATGGGTGCCGTATTGAAATAGGGACCCAAAAAGGGACCATAATGTTGACAACCACCCACATAGAGGCCTTAACAATCCTTCATAATTAGCGTAGGGTTTTGGGGCCCATTCTACTACAACTATAGTAAGGAACCACCAAAGCAGCACTGGTAACGATTAAGGCCCCTATATTACAAGGCTTCTTTGAAGGGCTCCTTTGGGATCCTCAAGGCTTTGATGGGTTCCGGGTTTGGTGCTGAATAGGGTTCTACTTGGAGGGTCGGGGGACTTAGTAACTGGTTATTTTAGGGACTTATAAGTACCATAACCCCAATTAGGGTCCCTTTTAGGGTACTTATAAGTCTACTTACTACCTACTTACTATGTCCCCCGACCCTCCAAGTAAACTCTTTTGTGTGCATCCAGACTGACTGGGATGGAACTTTTAAGGTACTATGGCGGCAATAAAGCCTGGGCAGCTGGCATCGGTTTTCAGGTGTACAATAATATGCTTGAGTACACTTTGGGCTTAGAGGGTATACCGAAGTATAGATGGAAACGAAACCGAATGGGATATTATGACAACAGCAGCGACAAAATATTCAGACCACGTTTCCAAGGTGTTCTGGTTGGCCCAACTTGCTGCCCTCGAGGAGGTCCCACATGGATACTGCAGGGTAAAAACATCACGATCGAAACCTCAAAAACATGAAGAATAACGGCGCCTGCACCGGGGTATGTTTGGGGTTCGGGGCTTTCAGTTTTTTTTCTGGTTCGGGTCTTTAGCTTCAAGCTTCAAAGCCCAACTGCCTCCGAAGGGGACGAGCGCTCTGTGAGGCAGCTGGCCATGATGAAGATCATGGCCTTAGGTTTAGGGTTTAGGGTTTGGAGTTTAGGGATTAAGTTTACATATATCCTAGCAATTTAGCATTCGGTGTTGTGCCGGCTGAATGGCCTGTCACGGCTTCTTGTGTGCTGCAGCTCAGGAGACATCGCCGTGGCCTGCTCCGAATCGGGTGGCTCACGTTCTTTTGACTTGTTATCTTACTTCCGCAAAACCCCAAGGCTCAAAAACGGGTTGTTCATGGCCAAGACCGTCGGGTTAAGGCGTTTAGGCTGCATCTTGATTCCTGTCCCCGAGCGACATGCTCACGGAATACCGAGCCCCAAATCCTTCTCTGCCTGTACTCAACTCTTCCGCCTTCCGCCCTTCTGCAATGAAATCTGCACAGACTTGGCGAGAAAGAACCGGTGGCCTAAATTGCAGTAGTGACATTACTCAAGCTCTCGCTCTGAAGCCTGTCAAGAGCAACGGTGCATGACGAAAACAAATGCTGCGTCTTCTAAGACATGAATACCAGAATAGCACCTAGCATTGAAGGCTACATCCTGCACCCTCAACCAAAACTCTAGGAAACTAAACCTACTAGACTTAAATCCCTAAACCCTAGACCCTAAAACCCTAAAACCCCAAAACAGTAAAACCCTAAACCCTAACCCCTAAATCCGCAAACCCCCCAACCCCTAAACCCCAAATCAAATCCTACGCCCTCAACCCTCCTCTAAGGCCCTAAACCCTCAGCCCCAGGTCGGACAAAGCCGGGAGCTAAGCCTAAAACCCACTAACCAGACCCCTTGTAGAACCCTTTTTGGATCCCTTTAAAGGAACCCTGATACCCCCTATAGCACCCTTTAAGGGATCCCTTAAAGGAACCCTTATAGAACCCTGTAAACTTCAAGGAACCCTTATAGAACCCTGTAAAGGAACCCTGAGAACCCTCTAAAAAGCCCTTTCAGGAAACCTTACAGAACCATGTGAGGAATCCTTAACGAAACCCTGATAGATCCCTTATAGAACCCTTGAAGGATCCCTTTCAAGGAACCCTGCCCTTTCAAGGAACCCTGATAGATCCCTTACAGAACCCTTTAAGGATCCCTTTCAAGGAACCCCGATAGATCCCTTATAGAACCCTTTAAGGATCCCTTTCAAGGAACCCTGAAAGAGCCCTCAAAGTGACACAACTGAGAGCTGAGCCCTCAAAGAGGCGTCCGTGGCCAAGCTTTGCGCAAGGCTGCAGGAGTTCGACCTCGCTGACACTCTATCGATATATATATATATATATATATATATACATACATAATACACATATACATATATATATATATACCTATACCTACATCTATATCTATATCTAAATCTAAACCTATCTATAAAAATATATGTAGATGTATATATATAAATATATACATACTATATGTATAGGCTTAAAAGAATTCAGCGTAGGCTTCGCAAACTCATGCTTAAAGTTAGCTTAGGGTATGGGGGTTCAGGGGTTTTGCGTTGTTCTGCTTGGGGTTTTGGGTCTGGGGGGTTTGGCAGTTTAGGGTTTTATACAGCATCGTAGGTCTCAAAACAAGCTTCGGGCGCTGGCTTCCCTTCAGGGTTCATGTGCTCATATGGTGTATACTTTGACCTCCGTGTAGTTCCTATATATATACATATACAAAATATGTGTATATATATATATATAGATCGGTACTTGAGGTCCCTATATATGGGTACGTGAGGGCACAAGAACATATTCTATGGGTACATGGACCCTCACGGTCCACCACTCATTGCGAACATGTTGTGGCAAGTAAGAGGCTCTTTGCTTCTGAAGTTGACCTTGCACCGATGAGTAGCGAATGGTACTAGTATTGCATGTACTCCCAGGAAAACAGGCTTCGCAGCAAGACGCCATATTTGACAAAAGCCGCCGCTACATGTGAAAGCCCCTGAAATCCCCTCAACCCCAACCCTGCACTCTGAACCCCGCAATTCTAAACTCTGTAGACCCCTACAAATTCCTATAAACCCTAAACTCTAAAGTCCTGTAAACCCTGAACTCTATACCCCCCTCAGGCCCAAACTGAGAAACCTACAAACCCTAAGCTCTACATCCCTATAAACCCTATACCTATAGTCTCCATTGTAGTTCCTTTTTTTGGTTAACGGTTAGGACCCAATAATAAAGATTTTGGTTAACCAAAAAAGGAACTGCAATGGAGACTATAGGTAAGCCCCATAACAAGGCTCCCAGCAGGAAAGCCAAAACTCGGGCCATCAGCGTCGCTTCTTCCAGAGCCTCGGCATTTCCGGGGCTTGGGGTTTAGGGTTTAGGATTTGGGGCTTCGGATTTAGGGTTTGGGGTTAAGGGTTTGGGGTTCAAGGCTTAGGATTTAGGGTTTGGGGTTTAGGGTTCAGTTTGGGGGTTCAGGGATCCTTGAAAGGGATCTACGGGGCTTGGGGTTTGGCTTCAGGGTTTCGGTTAGGGTTAGGATTCTTACAGGGGTTTGGGGGTCCCTCTTCTCACAGAAGGCTAGGACTTTAGAGCTGAGGGGTGTAGGGTTGAAGGTTGAAAGTCCAGGCTTCAGAGGTTATTACATTTATAGAGCGTTTAGGGTTTGAGGCTGAGCGGTCCATATTATCTAGAAAAAAGTCAAAACGTAAGCCCACAAACCTGTCTGACAGGACTTATACTAGGATTACTAGAATATATAGGGCTTAGGGCTTAGGGTTCATGGGCTTCTGATCTCAGGGCTCAGGGGTTTAATAGAAGAGTTCAGGGTTTACAGCGGCTTTCCTTGACTTCAGGACGCTCCACAGGGTGTGCAATTGGAGGAAGGTTTGTTGTGGTCCCAGCACGGTTTTATAAAGTCCGGACTGAGCATGGAGCATCCAAATACACCGCATGCACGGCCTGCACTGAAGGCTGAAATGCCGAACCTGAGAACTATATGGGGGTTTCCGAAAATGGGGGCCCCTAATATAGTACCCTACATAGTAGGATCCTTATTATTATATTAGGACCCCAAAATAAGGTATCCCTATTTGCGGAAACTCCCATATGCTATGAGCCAAACACTCCTGAACCTCCTAAACCCAGAAATCCTGATCGAAGAGTCTCACCTGGACCCTCCAACTAGTTACTAAATCAACCCTTGATTATATGCCGAAGGTTAAAAATAACTCCCAACTCATGACAAGTTAAGGAATATCTTGTAGGTGAAACCCTAAACCCTAAACCCTAAAACCCTAGACTTATAAACCCTAAACCCTAAACCGCAGGCGGAGCACCGCCAATCTTCCGCTTTGGAGGTTCGTCTGAAAGACGAAGCAGAAGCGCTCCCTGTAGACCTGCCAGACTTTCGGCACGACTACTGAGGGGATCATGGGACTTAGTAAGTAAGGCGAACCTTAGGGTTTAATTAGGGTTTCTTTAAAAGGGATCTTTACGGGTTCCTATAATGGGATCTACAAATGGGCTTCGGGTCTACTTGGAGGATCATGGGACTTAGTAGGTAAGGTTCCTACTCCTCTGAGCATGCGGCTCGAGACACTTCATGCCCGTGCGGTGAGGTACACGCATAAACTGGGCTTGAAAGTACCAGGGAGGAAGCATATAAACTTCTATTCCATAATGGCTCCCTTGAAGTGAAAGGCTCCCAAACAAGTATAAGAGTATGGTACTCCAAAGCCCGATAAACCCAAATCCCATAAACTCGGTTTTCAAAGTCAAATCTCAACCCCAAGGCTCTACACCCTGAAGCCCCAAACACACGGGAAGTTCTTTAAATTAGGGCCCTAAAACGAGGGACCTTAATTTAGAGAACTACCCGTGAGACGCTGACCTGCAGGAAGTGCTCTGCCCCGGAGGGTGCAGACACCGAGGAAAGGATGGTAGCCACGAGGAGTAGGACCTCGGTTTAGGGTTTAGGGTTTAGGGCAGTTTAGGGTTTAGGGCCGAACCGCAAAATTCAGATTGAAGCGCTTTAGGGTCATGGGGGGTTAGAACTTTAGGCCGATCCACAGAAGTCCTGGCTTTAAGACTTGCTTTATGCGTTTTTAGTGCTCTTATCCGACTTCGTACAGTTGGAATTGCAGAATTCCTTAGATGTTGGGGCTTTGGGGTTTAGGGTTTAGGGACTCGTAATTTTTCTGGTTTAAGGTTTAGGGGTCGGGGGTTTAGGGTTCAGAGGTCTAGGGTGTAGGGGTTTAAGATGCAGGGCATATCCATAAGAGGATAGTAACATAGCTCTCATAGTTTCGGGGGCACTGAAGCACATGTAAAATTTCTGTCCATGGCAAAATCTCTTCGGGAAGTGCATCTGTGCCAATTAGTTGGGGAGGAGGGCTCAGAGGTGTCAGGGCGTACGGCTTAGCGTCTATTGAGTCTAGGGTAGAGACACCCTAAAACCCCAAAATCTAATAAACACAACAAATGCACGCAGAATAATCGCCCCCAGAGGTGCTGGGCCATCTTTACAGGTCCGAGCCCCCAACGCGGCACCAGCTGCTGTGAGCAGGCCTTCCGAAAAGTCATGAATCATGACTCAAGTTATGAGGACATAGGGTTTAGACTTAGCGTTTCATGATTCAAGTTAGTCTAGGGGCCGCAATCACGAAAATGGGCTTGTGGGATAGACTATACTGTATACAAGAAACAACTACAAGGCAATACTATGGCTGATCAGTCCGGCCTGTGCATAACGAGATTCGTTCAGATTCGACACGGTCGCCCTGCTCCTGGTTGAATTATCTTTGTCGACTCGTGTATCCCAAAACCTAAATCCCGAATCAACGCACTATCCCCGCCACTATCGTGAGGCGATTGCTTCCATCCTGGAGAAAAAAGGCCAAAGCCTACAATTCCTAAATGCCAAACCCTTAATTAACCTCTAAACCGTAAACAACAACCTTGTCAACCTTGAAGCCCAGTTCAAATGGAACTCCTGAGGCCCGCAAAGTCTTGTTCAACTCCTGAACACGAACTGTCAAACTCAAAATATGCTAAATTCCCCGCGTTCAACCCCTAAGCACGTTCAACAAAATCCTCTACGAGTTCGTCGAAGGTATGTGTCTTAGGCATGCTCGAGAGATCATGATTTTCAGGGCCTAAAGGAGGCAGGAGGTTTGGGGACTTTGGGTAGGGATCGGATACGCGGGGTTAAGGGCTTGGAATTTTCGGGGCTTTCCGGTGTCTGGCGATGTCTAGCCCAAGTAGTGTAGCAAGCTTGCAGCATCCCATCCGAAAACAGCACACCCACTTTACCCCAAGTGCACGAAGACCCCGATGCCCTCTATCGCAAAACCTCAAATCCTGTTTAAACCCAAAGCCTGAAACCCTAGGATCCTTAACCCCTACACCCTGAATCAGTCGAACGTAGATCCGAAGCGCACGAACCTACGCCTATCCAAAGCCCACGAACATGGAACTCTGCGTTCAACAGGATGCCCGCTCAACCCGAACACCCTAGAGCTGGGAAGCATTACTGACAATGTCACCTTCAGGGTCCATCACATCACTCTGGCAAAATACAGCTCAAGATCCTACCAGTATTGCAATTCTTCAAGGCCACAGTGTAAGTCTAGTACAGTAAACCCCCAAGGTTGTAATTCAGGCCCCATTCTACAAGTAGTATAGTAAACCCCAAGACCCCATACACCCAAGATTTTGAGTCAGTGCCCTTATGTTGCTCGAGGGACTTTTGCGAGAAGGGCCAGCAGCAAACGACCATGAAGCTGCAACTATTTCCAAAAAACGCAGTATCCTTTTGGAACGTTTGAGTACTTCCTATCAAGCCCTTTAACCCTACAGTATACATGGCCACGCCGCAAGCATACCTGCTACTTAAGCGACTACGTGCGTCATCAAATAACCGCTGAAAGGATGAAAGGAACTCCTCAAGCCTAAATCCTAGACCCTAAACCCCCTAAGCCCAAAACCAACTTCTACACCCCAAGCCTTGAACTCCTTTAAAACTTCAGGCGGCCATGGACTACGCAGCTTTCCCCCGGTTGGGGCCTCCTCCAAGCCGCCAAGAGATTTCGCCGCTGCTTCTCGGCCTTTTGATGGTTTGAAAGGTTTAAAATTTATGGTTTAAAATGCTCAAAGTTTAGGGTTTAGGGGCTTTGGGGTTTAGGTCTTGGGGTTTACGGATTCTGGTTTAGGGTTCAGGGGTTTCGGGGTTCAGAGTTAAAACTTAGTGAGGGGCGTTTTTGTGTTGGTGGGGCTTTTGGTTACGAGAACACTTTGCAGCCAAAAAATGATAAACCTTGTTATCATTAGTTATTTTTCTGTAGAATTTATCCTCTGCACCATCCTCCCCATTTTCCTCCTCCAGTTTGGAAACCCACTAAATTACCTCACCTCTCCTCCCCGTTGTCCTCCCCAGTTTGGTCTCCTGAAAATTTACCACCAAACTATCCTCTCCATCATCCTCTCGATCATCCTCCCCATTATCCTCCTCAAATTTGGTCTCCCATGAATGTACATCAAAATTATCCTCTTCATCATCGCCCCCAACACCTTCGTCTACATCGAATGCTACAATCAGCTACATGCTACATGCCCGAAACTTCGACTCAAGCTGCATATGCCTGCATGCTTTCACAAGCGAAATTCGGCGATCATTAAGTGTCGCTGAGGATGTACCTTTGACGGAAAGTCATAACCAGCAAATTTAGCGACGGTTAAGCATTGCAACTGGCACCACAAGTGCCCTACACCAGATTTCTCACTGACAAGGGCCCCATCGTCTAAGCAATCATCGTCTAATGGTCCCAATGAGCCACGTTATTCTATCCATTTATGGAATGCGACAAGCAACCCGACGCTGCTCGATAGCCCTATCTAAATTCGGGTACATGCGAAAAAATGGCAGGGAGACAAATTTGAAGGTAAAAAGTTTAAGGGCAAACGCAACAACGATCTAATTTTTAGGTAAATTTTCTGGTGAGATGCAGCAAGGAAGCAAATTTGGTTAGATTTTCCGGGGGGATGTGGCTGGGAGGTCGATTTTTATATAATTTCCCGGTGCGATGCTGCAGGGCTGTAGATTTTGAGGGAAAATGTAAGTAAAGGCTTCCCTCCTAAAATTTGCTTCAAACCTACCTAAAAAAATTATATCTCCTCCTAGCTTGTTGGCTCTATTTCATTGACAATTGAAAATGAGCAAAGATGCTAGGAAGTAGAACGGAGGTAAATGGTAGGTAAATTTGGAATCCAAATTGTGCCGTCAAATCTAGATACAATCTGCCCAAAATTTGCATCCATCCTTGCATGTTGCTCATTTTCAATGAAAAATATTGGAACATAACCAAGAATGCGAGGAGGGAATCAAATTCTGCGTAAATTTGGGGTCCCAAATGCCACTGCGAATGTACCTAAAATTTACATGGCCCTAGCATCTTTGCTTGTTTTCATTCAAAGCTGGTAGCATTTTGCTGGTTTTCAACAAAAGTTTTTTGAGAAAAAGAAAATACATAAATATGGATGGAAGTAAATTTTAGACAGATTTGGGGTGGCAATTTTTTGGACCTCCAATTTACTCAAAATTTACCTAGCAGTAGCTCCTAGGATTTTGCTTATTTTCAGATATTTAATGACAATATGCAAACGTGCTAGGAGGGAGGTAAATCTGAGGTAAAATAAACTTGAAGTGGCAATTAGGACCTGAAATCTACCGGAACTTCACCTTTCCTCCTGGCATGTTGCAGCCCAGGGACACTCTGGGTCTGACACATCTCGAGTCACTGCCTCACGACGGGTGTGCTGGCACTAAAAGAAGGGAGGACCTCCTCCAGAACGACGACGATGTAGACCTCGTCCGGTGAATCATCAAGGAACCGTTCCATGAAGGACAATACTCGGGCCTGAATCTTCACGAGTTTGCGCGCCAGCTCATTCCGCTGTGCGCGACTAAGATCCTCCGCCCGCACCTGACGGCACGCCTGCTGATGAGAGCGAGATGTGCGTGCCGAGTGGACGTCCAGCTCGGGCAGTTCGGTGCGGCATTCGAGAGCCTCTCGACAGCTCCCCCTGGTGCTATGAAGCCATCACGATGTTGGACAATGATGCGATTGAAGTGACTCTTGCCATGGTGTCTCAGTCCATGGTGGGAGGAAACCATCGGTTGGACAACCAAGTTGCATGTGGGGCAGAAGTGCAGGCGAGCAAAGACTCTTCGGTTAGACCAACAGTAGAACCGACCTGACGACTTTCCGTAGCAGCAGCAGCAGCAGCAGTAGCAAGTAGTAGTAGTAGTAGTAGTAGTAGTAGTAGTAGTAGTAGTAGTAGTAATAATAATAATAATAGTAATCCCACTCGCAAAGATGGATCACGAAAAACAAATCTGAAACTATACCAGTGTTTCAGTGTTTCTGTAACTCGATACTCGCCCATGCCTCCGCCACTGTTGTTCAGGGTGCCGATTTCCTGGAGGAAGCCGCCACGTCCAAAATGTTGGAGCGTGGCACCGCCCCGGACCCGGCCGACCACTGACCCGCATCCTTCTCGCAGAGCCACGAGGAGAAACTCGCAGGTGTAGTCGACCTTCCGAGCGGTCTGGGTTTTTAATGCCCGGGAGTCTGGGAGCCTCCAGCCTGCAGAAGCTCCTCGGGCACACTGCTCGTGCCGTCGCCAATGGCGATGCGGTCTTGGCAGTGAGCACTGTTGCCTCCTGCAGCCGATGCTTGAGCCAAAATCTTTCAAGGTTTATGGTTTATGGTGTGGGGGCTCGTGGTCAGCGGTTTGGTGGAGGGGGTTCAGTTCGTTGGAGCTTTGAGGCTTTAGGGTTCTGCAGTTCCAAAAAACGTACCCACCAGACAAAAAACGGCGGGAGGAATCGGGAAGCCAGCTCAGTAGAACACCCAAACCCCAAAGTAAACCCTAAACCCTAAACCTACACCGTGATACAAAAGGGCTTGCAAGCCCTAAACCCTCAACCCCGAACCCTCAAGGCACCAATCTTGAGCCCTCAACACTAAACCTTAAAACCTAACGGCCCCAAACCCTAAGCCCTAATACAAGGGCTTCAATTATTAGAAGAAGGTTTTGGAGTCCATTATACTATAATTATCATAAAGAGTCCCCAAGACAGTATACTTAGTTATTAAAGCCCCTAAACCCTAAACCCTAAACCCTATAAGCCCCTATTTTGTAAATACCTGAACCCTCAACGACCCAAGAGGCCCCACACCCTAAGCCTAAAACCAGCAACCCGAAAGCCGACGCCCTAAACTCAAAGGGGAAAAGGAGGGACCCTTAATGGGGACCCTTTAAAGGGATCTATAGGGATTCTATAAGGGTATAGGGTTTAGGGTTTAGGGGTTTTGGGGGGTTTTGGAGGTTTAGGGGAAAAGGAGGGACCCTTAATGGGGACCCCTACCCTATAATGAGCTATATTAAATGGATATATAATAGCTGCATTAAGGGATATAATACCTATAGGGGTCCTAATTAAGGGTTCATCCTTTTCCCCTTTGACAAACCCGTAAGCTTGTAAACCATATCCGGACAGCCCGCCAAGCATGGGGTGGGAACGGGATAGCAGTAGAAGCCAGAAAGTTGGAGCATCAATATCCTCATGCCCTTAAGGCATATGGAATCCCAGCAGTAGTCATCCCATATAAATCCATGTTCCAACTTTCTGGGGCTCACTGTAGTACTACATAACGTGTGGTAAGGATTATCAGCCAGTAAGAGGGTCTGGGATTTCGGGTTTGAAATCTCAGGTTTTGGAGGTTTAAATTGCACGGTTTGGGGCTTAGATATAGGACTTATAGGAACTCAGGGTTTATAGAGGTTTAGAGTTTATAGGGGTTTGGGGCTGGAATTCAGTGTATGACTGGACAGCGCAGGTCACAGTTCGTTGGAAACTCCCGAAGCCCAAGTCTTTAGCTGAACTAAGTAAGTTTCCCGTTCGACGGTGACTTCGCGAACTGGAGCTATGAAGAGGGGCGAAAGGAAATTGACTCCTTGTAAACAGCCATGAAGTCAAGTCAGTGGTTGAAGGACAGAGGCTGAGCATCCCGGGCCAATCCGTCATCCCCTAAGGCTCCATGTGCCCATCTAGTAGGTAGTTAGGCTTCAGAAGGTCCCTAGATCGTTACTTTAAGGCTTAAGTACCTACTATATAGGTACATGGAGCCTTTGTCATATTGAGTTTCGCATTCGAGAGAGCTGGGAATGGATGCCGCTTCTGGCCGTGATGGCACGCATCACGGCGATCTCTTTGTTGGTTTGACACCTTGCGGCCTCTATCTGGGAGTTTCCGAAAAAATGGGGTACCTTTTTGGGGTCCTTAGAACAAGGATCCTACTATCTAGAGTACCTTATTAGGGTCCCCCATTTTCGGACACTAGCATTTCGCTCTCATGTGAAATCCAATGCCTCATGGAAAGGTCATCACTGTCACGAAAGCAAGCTTGCAAGTAAAGGTCCCGCTCCGTCTGTGGTGAGGTCTATATTTAAAGACGACAACTGAATACCCGATGCCCCACACGATTTCGACCTGCATGATACAACACGCAGCATCTTTCTTGGGACTTCCTTAGGATGATTGAAACACACTCTCCAAGTCCGCTCATGTGCAGCACGGAACATCACGGCTGAGCGTGTCGCCATGACCATCGGTGCACCGTCAATGGAATTTGCAGGCCTTGGTTGTGTGACAAGAATGACGGAGACCATTTGGGAGTTTCCGAAAATGGGGGTACCTTATTCTGGGGTCTTTACAATTAGCATCCCACTATTTAGGGTATTATATTGGGGTCCCCCATTTTCCGAAACTCCCATTTCCCAACAACTAAACATAGCCCAGCAAATGTGCAGAGAGGTAGTGGGCGCTCCGGGAGTGCTTGTGACCCACAACTCTTTGCAATTCAAGCACGTGTCAAGATCGTAACAGAAACAGAGACTTCCCAAAGCCTGAAACAACAGACCCCAAGGTAAGCACTGTTGATCCGTGATTCTCAACCCAACTCCATTTCTTAAGTGCCTTAAGATCATGACCGTGTTCGATCATGAATTTTCTTGTGAGGGGAGCGTAGTTGACTGATCTGCATAGATTCAAGCATGAATGAAACCGGGAGCAACATTGAAACTTGAAAAGTGAACACAGAAGTACGGTAACCCTTCCTGAACCCCAACCCTAAACCCTAAATTTCCTAAATGCCAGCCAGGAGAATCTAAAACCGGGACCCTGGCCCTGAAGTCTACCCATTGGATCATAATCTCTGTTCAACATCGGGACCAACAGAGAAATGAATACAACAAAACTTACAGTGAACCCCAGAACGTTGGAACATAGATTTAGGAGGATCCGTGCTAGGATTCCCTATACTTTGCTTTAAGAGCATGAGGCTAATGATGTTCCAACTTTCTGGCTTCTACTGTATCTTGTTAAACCATTTGTGCTTGTCCAGTTGATTGTGGCTTCGTAATACACGGATATCAAGGTCATAACGGAAGGTCCAGACCAACGAGAAAGTGTCATGCAAGTGACTGTGGTATGGCAGTATGAACCAACATCGAGCTGCTATTCCTGAACCTTCGATAAACTCTACACCGTGCTGGACGGCTTCAGTGCTGAATCACATGTGCCGTCTTCAGAGTTGCCATGGGGTTCCACCAGTGGGGTTCAGCATAACAGACTCGTCTCATTTGCATTTCTATTCCGGTTAATCTAATTAAACTCACTTGCATTTCTATCCCGGTTGCTCTAAATTCACTACGAAGTACCGTGCCTCATATAAACACCATCTCCAAGCCCGCAACACATGAGGCAATTCCGACTGTCTTCCATTTCCGTATCAAAGGGATGCTCCGAAAAGCCTACATTGAACCGAAGAGCGAACAAGCATCTGCCCCCTTGTAACTGACTACATCAAGGCCATGAATGTTCAGTTTCTCCTAAACCTTGACAACCAGCATTTCTATGTGAAAGCTTCAGCAACGACAAGAGCTGATCCGGAAGCAACGCTGCACCTCCGAAAACTCTCACATACCGAAATTCAGTCTGAACGCAAGAAACGTCAAGCATGAATCCGAACCGGATGTGATAAGGCTTAGGCCTCAGGTTAAACTTTAAACCCTAAGCCCTAAACCCTAAACGTTTAAGTGTGCCGGATGTGGAGTGCGTGCCGCCTAAAAAAGTACCAGCCTGAGACCCTCACCCATAGAATAGAACCTCCACTCTAAACGGTTTAGGGTTTAGGATTTAGAGTTTAGGGTTGAGGATTTAGAGTTTAGGATTTAGAGTTTAGGGTTTAGGGTTTAGGATTTAGAGTTTAGGGTTTAGAGTTTGGGCTTTAGGCTTCCGAGTTCAGGGTTTACGGAGCAGCACCCCCTCGCCCCCTTATGTGAGGAAGTAATACGACAATGCCGCATCACAAACTTCCATAATCTGACACCAGCAGATACGCATCCTCTCCACATCGCCAAGGAACCCGGCCAAGGCGATGTCCAGGGGCTGAGCCCCGTGGGAGCCGATCTGGGTCCGCGCGGCCGGGGGGACGGTCCCCCCGTGCTTGGCCACGGGGGTGTCAGGCTGTCTGGCTGCAGCATGAAGCCCCAAGTTTTCCACGAATACTGTCCTGTGCCGCCAGGATTGAAGACCACAGCACGTGCTGAGCGTCTGAATATCTCAAGCTCGCATTTGCTGTCACCAACACTAGGTTACCCAGTAACCTAAGAATAAAAAGGCCTCTCTTTTTAGTATTGGGTAACTTTATAAGGAACCTAGGACTACAAAAAGGGACTAAGGGTACTACTGGAGATCCTAGAACATGGCTCCCATAGCAACCGGAGGCCTATGTCTCCTTCCTCGGGCAGCAGCGCTCTTTCGCAGGACGCTAGGATAAAGATTGGCAGCGGCAGCTAGTCTTTGCGATCTGAAATGACACGGGTTTCAACCCCACACATCAAACCACCGTGCAGGTCCGGTAGCCCCAAGCCAAACGTTTTCAGCGCCCAACTGATGGATTTTCCAGCCGTTCGTCACATGAGACCCCGATTTGTGGATGGAATTCAAGGATTTTAAAAGGGTTTCGGGCTTCGGGGCCGGGGCAGGGGGCAGCTTTTGAGTTCAGGGCTGTAGATGAGTGTTAAGTGCTACCCTAAACCCTAAACCAGGGTGAGATTTAGAGGGCTTCGAGGTTTCTAAAGTTTAGGGTTTCAGGGGCAAGACGTCGCGCTTGCAGGTACTTGGGGCTTTGAGGGCTTCGGGGAGTTCCCTGAGTAGCCCCTTAATGATATGGGTACCGTTTTTCCTACCTTTTGGTGGGAACCCAAAATCAAAAGGGGCAACAAGGTCCTACTCAGGAACCTAGGTTCATGCCAAAACCCTGCATGCAAAGCCTGAGACCCTTCAAAAGCTTACCGACAACACGAAAGGATCCTTGCCCAAACTTGTTGAAGCACGCCAATGAAGCCTTAAGGGACCTGTAATGTTGGTAGAACCCGGTAGAACCCTCATCGTAATTCGTAACCCGTATAGGACATTGATAGTATTATAGCAAACCCGTACCGGATCCCTATGGAACCCTTCCTGAGCTGCAGGCACCACGTAGCTCGACTCGTTGCTTAAGACCTGAACAGTTTCACGTAGAGAGAGGCTTAACATAGGGGCCTTAATAACTAGAATAAGCTTTGGTGGGTATATTAGACTATAGTTGTAAATATAAGGACCCCCCCCCCCGAAATAGTATAGGTAATGATTGCGGTCCCTAATAATATTAGAGAGAGGCTCGGGGCTCTAGAGTTTAGGGCTTCGGGTCCGAGTCTTAGGGTACAGGGCGAGGGCATTGGGGTTCCGGGGTGGGCGAGTCGGGTGAATGCGAATATGCATGGTTCCATCAAAGGCAAACAACCCCAAAACCTCAACCTAAACTAAACCCCAAACCCCAAAACCCTAAACCACAATCTAAACCCGATATCTGCTTCTGCTAGACAGGCTTCCGAACCCCTGCTCAGGCTACAGGGCGTCAGGTCTAGGTGAACTTCTCTGGGTGGCCAAAGCGAACGTATCAAAGCGCGTCATACTGCTTCAGATGACAAAATGATGCTTGTGCTCCGAATTGCCAACCTGGGGAATGCTGTAAAGGGCGCTAACCCGAAACCCCGAACCAAGCAACCGCTCAGCTCGGGCATGGGCGAACTCACGCAGAAGAGGGCAGAATGCCTCCGAGGCCAGTGGAATGGACTCGAAACGTATCGGCTTCACAGGTACATTGGGCATCATTCGGCATAATCTTCTGAATCTCAAAGGGTCGAAGGACCCAATAATCAGGTACTTGGGTTTAGGATAGTAGTTGTGTAGGTTACTATTTGGGAGATTATATGATAATGAGGTACTTGGACCCTTAGGGTTCTGAATCCCAGAAGGTCCATACAGAAACTACAATTACGACATCGGGCCCCCAAAGGACCATCCTAGTTCTGGTTTGGAGCGGCCTATCTCCATGATCGGAGTTTACACCCTAAGGCTCCAAACAGGGTCTTGGGCCTTCTGGGGGAGGGTTTCGGCTTTGGGGGGTGGGGATTGGGGACCTCACTACAAGGGTCCAGGAGCCTTAGGGTAATAGTATATATGGACGCTCTTGGAATCTTTTGAATGCCAGGACCCGTAAGGCAACCATAATCATAACCCATACTCGGGGACGTATACCTCCACTTATAACTACCCATGAACCTCCAAGTAGAGGTATACCCGCAAGGAATGCCAGAACCAGGCTAGGGCTACAGGGCATGTGGGTCCTCGGGGTCGGCACACCCACCGACGCACTTGCACTGCAGCACACCTCCACCCTAAACCCTAAACCCGAAACCCTAAACCATGCCCCGCCATACCCTCCGATATTGCAGGAAGTCGGGCTTCCATAGTGAAAGCCAAGTATGGGGTTCTCAGAAAGTCGGGTTTCGGGCTTTGGGGGCGCAGGATGGAAACAAGTTGGAGTCCACGGACTCAAGCAGGACCCAGGTGCGAAGCTCAATTGCCACGAAACCCTGGACCCACACCCTAAGGCTCTAAGGGTCCATGTACTCATATAGTATATACATTGGCCTTAATGTAGTCCATATTTTGGTACATTGGGGGCCAAGTACATGCTATATGAGTACACGGACCCTTAAGGACACATCCTCGCAATTCTACATTTCCCAAACCCCTGAACTTGAACCCTAAACCTTGAGTCCTCAACTACGAAATGTAAAAAACCCTGAAAACTAAACCCTACATCCTAAACCCGTAACCCTTATCCCTAAACCCCGAATCTGAACTCTATAAACATCATTTCGGGATACCTCCCGTCAAGCTATCTTTAACTTGTAAACCTATAGCCCTCGCCCCGCCAGGAGCTGGAAGATGCGACGCTCTGCCAGGAGCGCGGCGCCCGAGGGCGTCTGAGCGACCTAGCTCTTCGCTTCATCGCTTCCCCTAAGTCTCCATGGGCCTACATAGTCGGTATATACATATATGTATGTATGTATGTGTATGTGTATGTGTATGTGTATGTGTATGTGTATGTGTATGTGTATGTGTATGTGTATGTGTATGTGCATGTGTATGTGTATGTGTATGTGTATGTGTATGTATTATATATATATATATATACATATAATAATTAACGTTTTCATATATACATATATATATATATATATGCATATATATATATATATATATTCGTCTATACTTAGGCCTGGAAGTAGCTATAGAGGAGCGCAGCTATATAACCTTTTCTTAAGCCTTCAAGTACCTGTACCAGGACCCCCCCAATGGCCCTCTACTGGAGGCCATGGTCCTTCATAGTGGGTATTTGGGGCATAACGGAGGGTAGTTTGGGGGTCCAGGCAGAGGAACCCCTCTAAGGCCTAATCGTAGACTACATGGTCTCGTGGAGCCGTAGAGTTCTTGATGATTAGAATCCTGGTCTCCGGGAACAGCCTGAATCATCCCTAAACCCCAAGCCCTAAATTCCAAAACCCATGAATCTCTGAACCCTGGACCTCGACGTAAATTCCACTTCTGCAGGGGTGGGCGGGGTCTGGTCTGAGACTATAAACCGTCGAGGTTGACTCAGGAAAATTATGGGTTTGGGGTTCAAGGTTTAGCTGTCCTTCACGCGTGAGCTCAGGGCTTTAAGGCCTCCGAGCAGACCCGAAAATGCAGTGTTTGTTTGGTTACTGTAATCTCTTATTATAGGATCCTATAACATATCATAATATATATATATATATATATATATATAGATATATATATATATATATATATATTAAGATCCTAAAACAGATCACAACCATAAATTAAAGAAGTTATCCTAAGGTACAGAGCTCCCCTCGGCCATTTTCCTCTGCCGCGACCTGCTCTGTCTTTACACGCAGAGAAGCAGAAGGTCCATCTGCTAGTGAGGACCGAAGCGATTTCGATGGAGGATTTTGTATTTTCTAGGATACCCAGTAACCTAAGAATAAAAAGGCCTCTCTTTTTGGTATTGGGTAACTTTACAAGGAACCTAGGACTACAAAAAGGGAATAAGGGTACTACTGGGCATCCTAGGCGATGTCGATGGAGGATTTTGTCATAGGGATCCTTAGGGGTGTAGGGCGGAGGGGTGTAGGGGACTATATTTCCTTAAATAGGCCTTAGTAGTCCTTATTATGGGCCTTAAGGCCCCCATACCCCCCCTCCCCGTACACCCCTAAGGATCCCTATGATTTTGTATTTTGGTCCCAATGCCGAAACAGAACTAAGCCTGCATGGAAGATTTCCGTCCACCGAACAAGCGGGCCTACATGTGCAGTTGGGATGCATGTAGCTAGGTACCATTACATACCTACAAGAAGAATGATAATTCATGAGATATGATGACATGATGATTACATACACCATGGGCTTCGCTGAAGACTAGGGTCGTCGCCCTAAATCCCCTGTCGCTGATTTGCCCTGCTCGAGGTAGGTCCCGTCAACGGAAACGGTCACAGGCTGGCTTCTTAAGGCTCTGGCAATCTCGCTCTTCGCCATGTTGCAGGGTCACGATGTCGTGTAAAAGCGGTGGTCGCCCCCGCCGCATTACCGAGTGACTACCTAATTTATGAATGACATGCTTGGCATGATGCCACTTGGACGATGAATTGATATGTCACACCAACATTAGGAATCAACACGGTTCACCAGATCTTGTATGTAACAGTGCAGACACGTTAATGCGTGACAAGTATCTTGAAATAGGTATGCAGCTGTCCCGACAGGCGTTTGGATGATACTACGTTTGTATGTGTGTGTATGTATATATATATATATATATGTAACTAGTTATGGACCACGCCGGCAGGTTGTAACATCGTCTTCCCGCGTGAGGCCCGAGTTCTACTTGTGCCAGTTTAGTTTACAGTGTACAGGGGATCCTCTAGGGGTTCCTGTGACGGTTTCTGGTTCAGGGATCCTGAAATCTAAACCCTGAGCCCTCTCAGGGCTCCTTAAACGCTAAACAATATACCCTGAGCCCCAAAGCCCTAAAGTTTAAGGGCTCCTTGCAAGCTTCCTTTACGGGTTCGTTTCCGGGTTCTTTCTTGCCCTAAGGCTCCATGTACCCATATAGCAGGTACTTAGGCCTTAAAGTACCTATATAGGGACCTCTTTAAAGACTAAGTACCTACTGTCTGGGCACATGGAGCCTTAAACCCTACACCAAACCCTAATAGAACCCCCATAGAACTCTGATAGAACCCCTTATGGTTCCACTTAAAGGCAATCTTGAGGGCACATGGAGCCTTCGGGCTCCTCCTTGCAAGCAGCTGCTGGGACCTCAAACATGCCCAGACATCGACGTGGCGATGTGGGCGCAGCGAACATGCGGGGCCTCAATAATTAGAGAATAGGGCTCCTTTAAAGGATCCCTACAAGGTTTTTGTGGGGGCCTCAATACTTATAGACTATCGAATAGGGCTTCTTTAAAGGATTCCTAAAATAATCCAGAATAAGGGGTTTAGGACCGCAACAATGACACTGGGGTTTTGACTTGAGGTATATTACGGTATATTGTCCGATAACGACGACAATGGAAACAAAAGAAACATGTTCAGAATCGTTCCGAAAGCCCTATAAACACCGTCAGACCCTACGAAACCCTTGCAGAAGCCCTAAGGAATAACAATACTAAGTATTGAGGCCCCGGTAGTAGCAGACTCAAGACTGCAGGTGGATGCTCGAGCCTGTTGCCCTCAGGGCCTCCGCGAACAACGTACGAGAGACTGAAAGCCCTAGGGGTCCCTTTCCCGGCTAGTACTTGGAGGGTCGGGGGACTTAGTAACTGGTTATTTTAGGGACTTATTAAGTACCATAACCCCAATTAGGGTCCCTTTTAGGGTACTTATAAGTCTACTTACTGCCTAGTTACTAAGTCCCCCGACCCTCCAAGTAAGGGTTAACAATTCGGCTCTGCAGTGGCTTTAGAGCTTAGGGTGAAGTGTTCCTCACAGTATGCTTTGGCCGTAAAGTACCTATGTAGGACTTTTTTAAGGCCAAAGTATATACGGCATGAAGGGAGGCATCTTGAAACGCCTCTCCGCAAGGGTCTTCAATGCAAAACTCCACAGTTCTCAGCGGCAGGCAACTCCAACTCCAATGGGTGGCGGTGATGTTGCAAGGGAGTAACTTCTTTTAGTAGAGGGATTAGAACATTAATATATTCTGGAATATATACCTTTAAAATTGGGATGAGGTTCATGGTGCAAATCTCTCGTTCGGAAGGTCATGGAGGTCGCAGGAGCGGAAAACCTCAAAGCATCTGAAGGAAAGTCAGAAGCCGAGATCAGAGCTGCACCTCGTACACCTGATTCTTCTCCTGAGCGAAGGCTCTGGATGCACATTTGTCAAGACTCGCCTGGATGGTTCCATGTCAGGGATTCGAGTTCAGGGTTTAGGAACCTGATGGCAAACCAGATGATGGTTGCTGAGGATGTTGCTGTCAGCTGCTCATGACGCAGCTGCTGTTGCTGCTGGTGGAAGATGTTGCTCTTGTATAGTTATTCATGCTGCTGCTTTGCCGCCGTTGTTGCTGTCTGCTACTTGTTGTAGTCGTGGTGACGGAGGTTCTGATAGTCGTGGTGTCCCATCTTAACCAGTCTGAGGTAGGTGGCCAACTGCTCGACTCCTACTGATAGATGCACGTCTGCTTGTCCAACCCTCAAACTGCATTCTGACTCTGCTACGTAGGACGCGATCGGACTCACACATTGGCACTGGGCTTCGTAAGTTCATGTCAAGACTCGACCCAAACTTTGCCCTGCAATCTGGACAACAACATAGCAGCAAGACCGGGCTCGCATTCACTTCTGCAGCCACATCCTTCAAACCGCTCTCTATATCTATGTCGACTTAACCACGAGCTTGCCTTGCATGTCATATGGTGTAGCAATGCTGCGCTATTGCCGATGCAAGTCTGTGACCCCGGCCAAGGTAGGCATGCGAAAGTTGCGCACTTTCGAGAAGCCGTTGCCTGAGGGAGGTTCGGCTCTTCCAGCATCGACGCGGTCTAGGGTTAGGGTTTGCCTCAGGGTCAGGGTTAAAGGGTTCGGTTTAGGGTTTAAGGCAAGAACACTGGTTCCGACAGGGTTCTGACAGATTTATATGTAGTATAGGAGCCTTTATACTGAGAATAGAGTCTTGCGGCCCATTATACTGTCCTACTCATTGTCCAGCCCACCTGCCAGCATAAGTACCGAGTTACCCTACAAGGGTCCATGTACTGATATAGTAGACCTTTTGGCCTTAAAGTAGTCCCTCTTGTGGTACTTTCCCCAATCAGCCACAGAAATAAACGGTTAAACTTTCCGACTACTACTAAACTATAAGAACCCAAAAAGTTTGAAGGTTGGGTATTGGGGAACTAAGTCCGGGGCTAAACGTATATACATCCTGGTAAATGGATCCTGAGGCTCAGTGGGACTGCCTAGTAAGGCCGGCAATGACTGGGGTAGCATGTGGGATCGTCGAGCCTTTTCTTGGGTTTTAGGTTTTAATTAGGGGTCTAGTAGGTTTAGGATATAGTAATTTGTCAGCATTTAGGATTGCTTCTGCGGATAAGACACACTGCAAATCTGGGAGCCCCCAAAAGAACCACAACGTGATCACAGAGCCCCATTGGCAAGTCTGGGAGTGCGAGCTCGATCTGGAACGGTTCTCCAAACAAATACCCCAAGGGTCCAAAAGGACCCAATAATCAGGTACTTTGAGTTTAGGATAGTAGTTATGTTATGTAGGTTACTATTTGGGAGGGTATATATATATATATGTGATAGTTAGGTACTTGGACCCTTCAGGATATTGAAGCTCCTCAGGATTCAGGATTGAAACCGTAAGAGTCTAACAGTAATCCTTGGGTGGCCCGTTTGGTCCTTGGCACTGGCTATTC